GAAGCTCAAACAGACAAGGACTTCCTCCAGAGCTGACAGAGGGAGAGAGCCTTCCCCTAGAGGCAGCACCTTGAATTTGGACTTCTAGCCTCCTAAATTGTGAGAAAATAAATTTGTTTGTTAAAGCCATCCACTGTGGTATTTCTGTTATAGCAGCACTATATAACTAAGACAGAATTTGGTATCGAGAGTGGGCTGCTGCACTAACAGATACCTAAAATGTGGAAGCAGTTTGGAATTGGGTAATGGGTAGAGGCTGGAAGAGTTTTAAGGTGCCTAATAGTAAAAACCTAGATTTCCCTGAAGAGACAGTTGGTAGAATTATGGATGTTAAAAATTCTGGTAAGCTCAGAAGGAAGTGCTGCTATAACAGAAATACACAAGCAGATGGCTTTAACAAACAGGAATTTACTTTCTCACAGTTTAGGAGGCTAGAAGTCAAATTCAGAGCTGCTGTTCTAGGGGAAGACTTTCTCTCTCTCGGCTCTGGAGGAAGGTCCTCGTCTCTTCAGCTTCTGCTTCCCAGTTCCTCGGAGATCTCCATGTGTCTTGGCGTCTATCTTACCTCATCTCTCTTGCTGGCTTGTGTTTAATCTCTTTTATATCTCAAAAGAGATTGACTCAAGGTACACTCTGTACTAATTCTGCCTCATTAACATAAACATCTTTCTGGTATTCTCTGCTTTCAGCCAAGATCCGTCTGACATCAGCAATGAGACTAATAGAGTAGCTGATCATGCTGGCTGGGGAACTTCCCAGGGGTCTGACCACTTCAGGGGTTAAGAGGTTTCATAGGCAAGAACTACAGTGCCCAGCAGGGAATTGAATGGGAGTCACAGCCAGTCCTCAGGGGATAAGGCAGTGCCAGGGAGAGCCAGGATGTGACCAAGTTAAAGAGAACAGACCTCAACTTACACCAGCCACATACTTACACAGCAGCTGCCAGCAGAATTCCCAGGAGTGGGGTGAAAGAGCCACTTTCAGTGAACACCAAGAATCACAAATCCAAGACTGCTCTGAGGCCAGTTATCACCTTTTTCTCCCAATAGCACAGGACACAGCAAGCTCTCATATAGCCAATTCACATTCTGAGAAGAGAAAGGAAACTCCAAAACAGACCATCTAATCTACCCTTGACAGGGAGAAGAATTTTCAATAGAAGAAACATTTCCTGAAAGGAGACTATTGGAATTAGCAAAGCCGAGATACCTTTAATTGGAACATCCGAGGTTTTTCACTACCAGGGTTCATAAAGACTGTAAGATTAGCCATACAAAATAACAGACTTCTTGGGGGTGGATGAGATAAGCACATTAGTGATGTGTGAGTTTGTGACCCTGATACTTTTTTTCTTTTCATGTTGTATTTATGAAATCTAGTTCAGATGAAAAATAGATGTGGAAAAAAGTTTTTAAAAGTGCACATATAAATGAAGCAGAATATTTCAGTACTTTTTATTTCTCAGATTTTAATAATGGAAAGCAGCACATGACCTGCCAGTGAGGATAGAGTCCCTGGAGATGTGATTCAATACTAAATATCAAAGTGTGAAGCACTGACATGCAATACAATTTCTTTCTGCAAACCACTTTCCTAATGACATACTTTGTCAGATTCTTATTCCACTTCAACATACCTTGACTGGAAGGCTAATTGATTAGCAGTTTTCACTAGTCCACTGAAAAGAACAGAACTTTAATTTCACTTGACGGACTGTTAAATTGGGCTTTTATGCCACCTGGTTAGTTTAAGCCAATTATTCCTTTGACTGATAAACACACAACTGCCACTTGTTAAAATATCTTTTAAAAACTGAAGTCTGAAGACATAAAAAAAATTATGGAAGTAGACTGTCCCAGCATGTAAACTATGCAGCAGTAGCAATGAGCTATTTTTGGAAGCTGTCTTAACCTTTTCAGGCCACAAGGAGTCTATTCTCAGGGCATATTCCTCAAATTGTATTTCTGATGACGGTGGTTTTCCACTTAGAACTTCATCCGTACTTTCCCCTGGAGCTTCCCCTTGTGACTAGTAGCCTCCAGTTTTGAGGCAGTTTGTAGTAACAATTAAAATTTACACTCTCAGGGAGGCTCTGAGACCCCCAGTTTCACTCTATCACATGACCTTACTTAATTTTCATAACTAGCTACTATTTTCTTCTTATGCATTTTCTTACTTGTTTACTGTCGGTTTTCCCATGAAAACAGGGACCTCACTGCCTTGCTCACTCCAGTACCCGAATTCCTAGAATTACACCTGGTTCTTAATAGGCACTCAATAAACACTTATGTAACGAGTAAACTTTTGAATATTGCATGTGAAACCATTTTTCTTTATAAGAAATTAATGAAGAAAGATCCGATGTGTGAGTTATAATGTACAGAAGATTTAAAAAAACAAACCTGTTGCTGTTGAGTTGATTCTGACTCACGGCCACCTCATGTGTGTGAGAGTAGAACTGTGCTCCATACTGTTTTCAGTGGCCGAGTTTTCAGAAGTAGATCGCCAGGACTTTCTTCCAAGGTGCCTCTGGGTGGACCGGAACCTCCAACCTTTTGGTTAGCAGACAAGTTCATTAACCATTTGCACCATCCGGGAACTTCTTACACAGGATCGTGTCATGCTTTTAATCATGCTTTACCAGTTGCACTAACTGGCCCAACAAAAGGAGACGGTTCTCAGAAACCCTAGTTTACTGCATATTATGGATGGAGTTGTGCCCTCCAAAAATGTGTGTCAACTTGGCTAGGCCATGATTCCCAGTATTGTGTGACTGTTCACCATTTTGTCATCTGATGTGATTTTCCTATGTGTTGTAATTCCTACCTCTATGATGTTAATGAGGTAGGACTAAAAGCAGTTATGTTAACGAGGCAGGACTCAATCTACAGCATTAGGTAGTGTCCTAAGTCAATCTCTTTTGAGATATAAAAGAGAGAAGCAAGCAGAGACACAGGGGGACCTCATACCACCAAGAAACAAGAGCCAGGAGAATAGCGTGTTCTTTGGACCCAGGGTCCCTGCACTGAAAAGCTCTTCAACCTCTGAAGACTGATGACAAGGACCTTCTCCCAGAGCCGACAGACAGAGGAAGCCTTCCCCTGGAGCTGGCACCCTGAATTCAGACTTCTAGCCTCCTAGTCTGTGACAGAATAAAGTTCTCTTTGTTAAAGCCATCCACGTGTGGTATTTCTGTTACAGCAGCACTAGATAACTAAGACACTGCATAAAACCCCATTGCCATGGAGTCAATTCCAACTCACGGTGACCCCATGTGTTACAGAGTAGAACCGAGCTCCATAGCGTTTTCTTGGGTGTACTTGTGGCATAGTGGTTAAGAGCTCAGCTGCTAACCAAGAGGTCTGCAGTTAGAATCCACCAGCTGCTCCTTGGAAAACCCACTGGGCAGTTCTACTCTGTCCTATAAGGTCGCGCTATGAGTCAGAATTGACTCTACAGCAACGGGTTTGGTTTGGTGTTTGGCTTAATCTACAGAAGCAGATCACCAGACCTTTCTTCCAAGGTACCTCTGGGTGGGTTTAAATTGCCAACCTTTCAGTTGGTACCTAAGAGCAAACCATTTGCTCCATCCAGAGACCTAGTTTACTACATAAAACACCCAGAATAAACTCATTTAGATAGCAAAGGTACCTAGGTTACTCCACTCTACTCCTCTGGCTCTCATACGACTGTAATTCAGAACTTCCATTTCCCCCTTTAAATTCAACTTACATTTTATATCTTTTAGTTGTTAGAAATATATTATTTTATATTCCTTAGTTTCTAATAAAACCCATGAGTTTTAACAGTATTAAAATCTCAGTTAACTTCCTTTAAGCTTATCTATAACATTTTAAAGTATCAAACTTGGTGACCCTAGAGGACAGAGTAGAACTGCCCCACAGGGTTTCCAAGGAACGCCTGGCGGATATGAACTGTTGACCTTTTGGTTAGCAGCCAAGCTCTTAACCACTACACCACCCGGGTTTCCATATCAAACTTAGTCATCAGTAATTGAAACACTCAGCAATGATTTAAGTTTGTTGAATAGATAGAAAGAATTTAAAATTTCATCAATGATATTATCGACTGTTTTATATATATATATATATATACATATATATATATATATATATATAGTACTTTTTATTCCATCAAAAAGGAAGTTTTGTTCTCCACTACCTTATATTTTAATTTCAGTTGTGATTTGTATAAATTATTTTAGGTTTTTAAAGAAATCAACCTCATTTAAACACTTAAATTAGTGAAAGAAAGGCAATGAAGTTTTTAGGTCACATTTTAATTAGCTCAAAAGGTTGCTTATGAAAGTGTTCTGCTAACCAAGATCTTTACTATTTAAAGAAAGGTAATTTTTCTTCTCCTTTACCTTGAGAAGCCAGACCTAATAAAAAGAATGTCATCCTAAATATTAATTTAGAGCCCAGAACCTATGAGTTTTAAACTTGGAAATCAGTATTTTCCAAACCCTGCTATTAATGATGATCGTATTACTGAAGCAAAAACACACAAGACATCTCTCAGATGGCTGTTCCTTTTCCTCTCATATACCAGTGTAGGTCTTTAAAATTTGTTTTGCTTTTCTTCTCTCTTTCTCTTTCAATGGTATGGGTATAAGTAAATGTTTGAAAGGTACAAGATTAGTTTAAAAATTCCCAAGCAAATTTCAGAAGAAACTATTATTCACATTGGTTTGAGAGTTTTGATATAGGGAGTTTCTTTTTCGTTTTTGTCTTTCTGAATAACCACCATTGTGTAGTTTCCTCTTTTTAAGAATAGACTGCAGTTTGGGGAAATGAATAAGTCAAAACCCACCTAATCTGGTCAGAATTCAAAATCAGTAATCACTTTAAGAATAATTAAAATAGTGACACAATTCACATTATAATGGCTTTTGGTCTGTACAGAGAAGTGGGAAGATTCCCCTGACGGTCTTCTTTACTATATCTTCTTCTAGACTTTAGCATTCCCTGACTCCTTTATTACTGATCATTCTTCTCAAGATCAGAAATGAGAATATTCTCTTCTGAATGCACTGTACTAAAGTTGCTTGTAGGATAGTAAGGATTTCTAAATCCTGCAAGTCTCCTGAAGAAACCACTATTCTGCTTGTATATGCAGAAGGAAAGTGTGGAAATTGCCAGAATTATTATCACTGTTAGCATTATGGCAAGAGGTACAACGCTGTGACTTGGTCCTGAAAGAAGACAAGAAAGAAGAAAACTTCAGTGACAACGAAATAAGATAGATACTGACTATTACATAGTTAATTTTATTATCTCTACACAAAATCAAAATGTACCAAACCTACCTTCTCCTGGATGCTCCGGTACAGCATGAACATCTAAAATAAAACACAAAAAAATACTGAGATGATGTTTTTCTTAGTAATATTATGTCACTGTTTATAGCAGGGGTCAGCAAACTCTGGCTACAGACCAAATTTGGCTGCTTGTTTTTATACATAATGCTTTATTGGAACACGGCCACACATTCATTTACGTATCGTCTGTGGCTGCTTTTGTGCTATAAAGGCACAGTTGAGTAGTTGTGACAGAGACCATCTGGCCCCTGAAGCCTAAAATATTTCTATCTGGCCCTTTACAAGAAAAGTTGGCCGACCCCTGATTTATAGTGTTCATCATTAGGGCTCACAAACACAAAAAATACACTGATTTTCTTCTTTAAGCCATAGAGTTCCTATCCAGTATCAGCACTGTGCTGAGAATATAAATGAGTAAAATATAATCCCTACCCCTAAGACACTCACAGTTTTGCTGGGATCTGACATGGAGTTTGTCCGGCAATGATGACTCCTTGCCTCTACGCAAGGATTTTTATATCAGCATCTTCTCATCTTTGTGATCTCAAGAATCTTGGGAAATAAATAATAGTTCCTCCATACAAAAAGTTAGCAGGTTCCCATTTTAGGACTTTCTATTGTAAAAATGTATCTCTTTGAAGTAGAATCTATTTGAAAATTTGAATGCTGCTGAAGTCCCTGGGGAGAAGCCCAGGTGGTGCAGTGGTTAAGAGCTACTACCGTTGACAACCAAAAGTTCGGCAGATCAAATCCACCAGCCACTCTTGGAAACCCTATGGGGCAGTTCTACCCTGTCCTATAGCATTGCTACGAGTCAGAATCGACTTGACGGCAACGGGTTTGGGTTTGGTTTTGGAGGGTCCCTGGGTGGCATAAATGGTGTGTAGCTTGGCTTCTAACCAAAAGGTTGGTGCTTAGAGTCCACCCAGAGACACCTGGAAAGAAAGCCCTGGTGAACTGATTCCACAAGATTACAGCCATTGAAAAGCCTACGGAGCTCAGTTCTACTCTAACACACATGGGGTCACCGTGAGCTGGAATTAACTCTACGGTAATAGATTTTATTTTATTCTTTTGATCAAGGTAAAGATTCAGAAAAAGGCGTAGAGAATGCTCCAGTGGATCAGTGAGTGGGTCCGTGAGCGGGGGAAGTGCCTCAGCACACTACATATGCCCATTCACTCCTTCATAAACTTAAAAAGTAACAGCAATAGCATGACCACATTTTTTTAAAGCTTGTTTTTACAATTTAAAAATAATGCTGGATAATTTTGTATAAAAATTATTGAAATCATGTTTGTGTGTGTGTGTGTGTGTGCGCGTATGTATGTGTGTGAAGAGACCTCTTTAAGAAGGGCTGTCAAAAGAGCATGTATTTTCAGGATAGAAGCAGTGGGCAGGTGTAGAAGGAGCACGTAGAGGCAGAAAATTTGGAGTCAGTCCTCAGTGTGGCCTCAGTTTGGACAAGTACTTTCCTCATCTGTAAAATGTTGATATTTTATCTGCTCCACAACCTTGGAAAGTTGCTGTGAAGGATAACTGAGGTTACATATGTATCATAGGGAGCTTTAAAGTACTATACTAACATGAAGTATTTCTGATTTGTTCTTGATGCTTAAATGCCAGTGTATTGCTTGGGCAGGCTATTTATTAGGCTTAGTCATGTTTTTCACATAGGGTTGATACTTAACAGTATTGGGCCTTCAAACATTGGTGTTCACATCTACCAATTTTTTTCTTTCATTAGACAGTATCTAATCAGTCATCAAGGCTTGTTCATTCTCTCTTCAGAATGTTGTTCCCATTTCTCCCAGCCTTTTTTATTTCTAGTTCTATCACTCAAATTACAACCTCCTCCCTTTATATCTGGATGAGTGTCTACAGCCAGAGCACATACGGATTTTCTGTCTTCTCCACCAAGAAGTTCAGCTCCTTAGCCTGGCATTGAAGGCTCTCTGTGGTCATATCCTACATTACTGTCCAATTTTATTCCCATCACTCCCTTACTGAGAATTCTCTGCTGTGATTTTTAGTCATGCTGGGCCCTTTGTCCAAAATGCCGTTCTTCCTCTGTTGCAACTCCTCAAATTCTCCTCATGCTTTGAGATTCCAAAGTCTCATTTCCTGTCTGAAGCCTTCTCCAGCAGCGCAGGCCACACCAATGCCCCCTTCTTTATAATACTGGCATCCAGAAATGGTTGTGATCATTATCAATATCATTCACTGTCAAAGATGCTCATTTTAACATCCCAGCTTAGATATGTCTGCTATTGTTTGTCACTAACCAGAATTTTCTGGCTTAGATTTCTAAAATAATTATTTTTTAATCACTACAAACTGTTTAGGTCAAGATGAAGTTAAAATCTGACTTTTATGACACATTATGGCTTGCAACAGAAAATTCCACTTAATTGTCCTCAATGAAGGTATTCAGGCCTAGAATATACTTCCTGAACCAAAGATGAACCTTAAAAATTCTGAGTATCAGTCATCAGAATCAGAATTGCTGGTTTACATTTCTAGCTCTATTTGCCTGAGATAAACTGCTTTTGCCTATTAGGTAAGAATCTATAGTGACACTAGAAAGCATATAGTCTTCGAGTTGCTTTATAATGATTTTTGTCTTCATATCAGAGAAAGGAGGAACTGCAGTGATCTCTGACTTGTTTGACATAGAACAAATGATAATGTCAGAATCTATCTGAATACTCCCTGAATACATAGATTTGAAAACCTTTAAATGCTAAAAAGGTGTGACAATATTAGGGTAGAACCAGAATGAAGAATTACCCTCCGACTAGACTCACCTGCCTCCATTTTACAAATAAATCCTTTTTTTTCTTGACATGGGGATAACTGCCACAGTCCTTCCAGGATCCTCAGGGCAACACACAGATGGGGTTTGAAGAGATCCGTCTCTGGTTCCCGAACACCCCAGTTTGACTGGTCTGTGGGAGTTCCATCAAACCACTTTATGGCGTCATCTGTGGGAAAATGGCTAATTTATTATGAATTATACTAAGACTGGAATGAACCATAAAAAGCAGCATCCAGATTTAATGAGACTCTCTCCTTATTTATCAGAGTAGGTATTAATAAAGTTGTCTTGTGAACAACCCTCTATCTGTTTTAGATATACTGTTCTAATTCAGTTCACTTAGGATGTCCTGTTTCATACTGTAATGGTTTGAATTTTTAAATATCCCATGTCATTATAGTGAATTTAAAGAAATCATTTAATAAACTAATCAATTTAAGGAAAAGTCCTTGGAAGTCCTAACATCTACATCATTGTAAAATGGCTCATTTCCTGAAAGAATTTCATAGTAAGTTTCTTTAAATAGTAAGCCCATGGTGTGCCATGGGGAGGGGGGAATGGGGTGGGAGAGGCCCATCTCATGTGAAGGCAATAAGAAGGTGCATTGTCTGAAAAGAAATTTAATTCAGCAGTAAAGCTTACTAAAATTTAGTCTTTTTTTTAGGTTCCTAGGTGTTGCAAACCACTAACCACTAAAGCCAAAGATGAAGAAATGGAAGATTTTTACCAACTGCTGCAATCTGAAATTGATCAAACATGCAATAAAGATGCACTGATAATTACTGGTGATTGGAATGTGAAAGCTGGAAACAAAGAAGAAAGATCAGTAGTTGGAAAATATGGCCTTGGTGATAGAAATGATGTCGGATATTGCATGATAGAATTTTGCAAGACCAATGAGTTCTTCATTGCAAATACCTTTTTTCAACAACATAAACAGCAACTATACGAGTGGACCTCGCCACATAAAATACACAGGAATCAAACTGCCTACATCTGTGGAAAGAGACGATGGAGAAGCTCAATATCATCAGTCAGAACAAGGCCAGGGGCTGACTTCAGAACAGACCATCAATTCCTTATATGCAAGTTCAAGTGGAAGCTGAAGAAAATTAAAACAAGTTCATGAGACCCAACGTACAACCTTGAGTATATCCCACCTGAATTTAGAGACCATCTCAAGAATAGATTTGATGCACTGAACACTAATGACCAAAGACCAGACAAATTATGGGATGACATCAATGACATCATACATGAAGAAAGCAAAAGAACATTAAAATGACAGGAAAGAAATAAAAGACCAGAATGGATGTCAGAAGAGACTCTGAAACTTATTCTTGAACATAGAGTAGCTAAAGCTAATGGAAGAAATGATGGCATAAAAGCTGAACAGAAGATTTCAAAGGTCAGCTTGAGACGACAAAGTAAAGTGTTATAATGACATGTGCAAAGACCTGGAGATAGAAAACCAAAAGGCAAGAATGTGCTTGTCTATGCCGAGAAATCTGGAAGACAGCTACCTGGCCAACCAAGAGGAAGAGATCCATATTTGTGCCCATTCCAAAGAAAGGTGATCCAACTGAATGTGGAAATTATCGAAATTACCATTAATATCAAGAGCAAATAAAATTTTGCTGAAGATTATTCAAAAGCAGTTGCAGCAATACATCAACAGGGAACTGCCAAAAATTCAAGCTGGCTTCAGAAGAGGACTTGGGACAAGGGATATCATTGCTGATGTCAGATGGATCTTGGATGAAAGGAGAGAACACCAGAAAGATGTTTATCTGTGTTTTATTGACTATGCAAAGGCATTGGACTGGGTGGATCATAACAAATTTTGGATAACATTCTGAAGAATGGGAATTCTAGAACACTTAATTGTGCTCATGTGGAACCTGTACATAGATCAAGAGGCAGTTGTTTGAACAGAATGAGCAGATACTGTGTGGTTTAAAATTAGGAAAGGCGTGTGTCAGGGTTGTATCCTTTCACCATACTTATTCAGTCTGTATGCTGGGCAAATAATCCGAGAAGCTGGACTATATGAAGAAGAACGGGGCATTAGGATTGGAGGAAGACTCATTAACAACCTGCGATATGCAGATGACACAGGCCTGCTTGTTGAAAGTGAAGAGGACTTGAAGCACTTACTGATGAAGATAAAAAACTACAGCCTTCAGTATTGATTACACCGCAACATAAAGAAAACAAAAATCCTCACAACTGGATCAATAAGCGACCTTATGATAAACAGAGAAAATACTGAAATTGCAAAGGATTTCATCTTACTTGGATCCACAATCAATGCCCATGGAAGCAGTAGTCAAGAAGTCAAACAATGTATTGCATTGGGCAGATTTGCTGCCAAATACCTCTTTAAAATGTTAAAAAGAAAAGATGTCTAGTCTCTATCAGACCAGTAAGTCTGGTCTTTTTGTGTGAGTGTGTGTGAGTTAGAATTTTGTTCTACATTTTTCTCCAGCTCTGTCCAAGACACTCTATTGTGATCCCTGTCAGAGCAGTCAGTGGTGGTAGCCAGGCACCATCTAGTTGTGCTGAACTCTGTCTGGTGGAGGCTGTGGTAGTTGTGGTAGACTATGGCCCCCAGACACCCTTATAGCTCAGTAATAAAGTGACTCCTCAGGTTCTCCCTTTAGCTAAAGATTAAACAAGCCCATAAAACAAAATGAGACTAAATGGGCACACTTGCCCAGGGGCAAGGATGAGAAGGCAGGAGGGGACAGGAAAGCTGATAATGGGGAAACCAAGGTTGAGAAGGAGAGAGTGTTGACATGTCGTGGGGTTGGTGACCAATGTCACAAAACAATATGTGTATTAATTGTTTAATGAGAAACTTGGTTGCTCTGTAAATCTTCATCTAAAGTACAATAACAAAAATTTTTTAAAAAATCCATATGAGACCAAAAGGTCAACAATTACTCTAAAGTAAAGATGAGAAGATAAGGGGGCAGGGAAACTAGAGTACTAGAAATGGAACAACTAGAATGCAATTAAAGAGAATAGTGACACATTGTGAGAAATGTAATGTCACTAAACAATTTGTATAGAAATTGTCAAATGGGAACTTAATTTGCTGTGTAAACTTTCACTGAAAATACAATAAAATATTTTTTTTAAAAAAGAGAAGATGTCACTTTGAGGACTAAGGTGCACCTAACTCAAGCCATGATATTTTCAATCACTTCATGTGCACGAGAAAGCTGGACAAAGAATAAGGAAGGCTGAAGAAGAATTGATGCTTTTTAATTATGGTGTTGGTGAAGAATATTGAATATACCATGGACTGCTAGAAGAACAAACAAATCTGTCTTGGAAGAAGTACAGCCAGAGTGCTCCTTAGAAGTGAAGATGGTGAGACTTCGTCTTACATACTTTGGACATGTTATCAGGAGGCACCAGTGCCTGGAGAAGGACATCATGTTCGGTAAAGTGGAAGGTCAGCAAAAAAGAGGAAAACCCTCAACGAGATGGACTGACACAGTGGCTGCAACAATGGGCTCAAACATAGCAACGACTGTGAGGATGGCAAGGACCGGGCAGTGTTTTGTTCTGCTGTACATAGGGTCGCTATGAGTTGGAACTGACTTGATGACACCTAACAACAACAAGGTGGTACAAATTGTTTGCACTCGACTGCTAACCGAAAAGGTTGGTGGTTCCAACCCATCCAAGGTTACCGCGGAAGAAAAGCCTGGCAGTCTCCTTTAAGATTATAGCCGGGAAAACTTTATGGAGCAGTTCTACTCTCTAACATTTGGGGTCACCATGAGTTGGAATCAATTCAAAGACAACTAACAACAACAGTCTGCTTTTTATTATTACTGTGTGCTTATAGGGCTGCTATGAGTCAGAATCGACTCGACAGCAATGGATTTGGATTTGTTTGTGTGTGTGTGCTAACAATTCTAAACAATGTTAGTGACCAGATATTTTCAGGAGTGATCAAATACTCCTCCCATCTTGGTACACAGTGTAACAAGCTTTTCAAACCAATTAAAATAATTTTCTTTACAAGTACTTTTCAGTAACCATCAATTAAATTATTTTATTACAAATTCTGGTTTATATGACTAGCAAATAATAAGTCTAACAGAACAATTTATCCCTGAAACATTTCTGTAACTCTATTGTGCTTTTATACTATTTAGGAACCTGCGGTATTTTCAAGTAAATATGGTTTTCTTATTCTGTGATGAGGTCTGTGAACACAAAGTTCAAGCCAAGCATCTTCACAAGAGAGCAAGTTTAAGATAAGATTGTTATTTTGTTTGTTTTTATTTTTGGGATTTTGGGATTATTTCAAAGGGCCAGAGGGTATAGAAAAATGGTTAGCAATATTATCATTGGAAGAAAGAGCTCTAGGAATCATGCTATTTTTTTCACAGCAAATATGGTATCTAAGGAGAGTTTTTCTGGTTCATAGAGGCCATTATCATCAGCCTTAACAACTATGTATTTATTTATGCCCTGTCTTCTTCTCTACCCAAATCACTTACTGTGGCTATCAAATTGAGCATTCAACCAAACCATCTGGACAGAAGAACCAAAAGCAGAAAGCTCTTCTAGGAGAAATGTATTTTCAGCCTCATCCTTGATAGTTAAAAGATTAGACCCTATAAATGAGACAAATAGCAAATGAACAAGTAATTATGTTTACACATAAACACAGTTTTAAAAATGTCTCCTCACACCATCATCTATGAAGTTTAGGCTTTGAAAACTGAAACTTCCCATTGTATACCAGTAATTTTTTTTATTTAAAATTTTAATTAAAACCACATTTATTGAAAGATACACACTTGCACTTAAGAAGTTAAAAGTACAGAATATTAATTTTAGGGAACATTAAAAATTCATAATTCAAATGCATTTAAAAGGAACACTTTCTTGGGGAAGTGCAGTATTCTGAGACATCATCTTTGGTTTTCAAATTCTACACTGGATCATGAGTTTCATATATTAGTTGCCCCCAAACAGACAAATTCAATAGTATTTATTTTTTCAATTGTTTTTGTTGCTCCCAAAGTCACTAAATAATCAGAGAAATGAAAAAAAACACATTCTTTACTGAAATGTCAAGAAAGAGCACATTGAAAGAATTTACCATCACAAAAGAATTACCTTCCTTTTTGCAAAATTCATGAGCAGCCTCAAAACTCATACTGTCTAGGACTGTAGAAAAACTGTAGCAATTACTTTTAAATTTTATCCAGGGAATAGATGTTTCTGAGCACAACTCTGGGTGTTCAAATGGTCTTGTCTCTAAGAACAAAAATCAGTTACAATTTCAGGGTGGTGGTTGTGTTAATGTATTGAGATAAACATTGCATTACATTCTATGAAATACCTAGACAAATATATATATAATGAGATTTTTATGGTAATACTCAGAAAGATTGGGTTTAATGTAAATGATTACAAAACCAAGACTGGTTTATAGCAACTCTGGCAGAAATAATCTTTACCTAAACATAACAGGGTACATTAACGCATTGTTTCCTAGTTTTAGTTTGGGTGCTGCCTGGGTGAGAGTGGCTGTCTTTCATGTTTCCAGTTAGTATCCTAGAGGTTGGAACAACTGGGATGATGTGATTCATAGAAACACTGGGAGCTGAATGATGCTGACCAAAGGGACTTCCAAGTGTACCATGCAGGGCTGAGTATCACAGATTTAAAAAATCCTTACCTGATCATAAACCTATGAGACAGAAAGAATGCATTCAGTAAAGTGACATGATATGACATGACATAACATAAATAAGAGAAACTTTTTTAGGGGAGGGGCTTACTTCAGATAGCAAGCTCAAGTCAGACACATCTGCGTTGAGATCCTGGCTCTGCCACTTACTAGTTGTCTGGCTGTGGGCATGTTACTTAACCTCCCTATACTTTGGTCTCTCTGCAGTGGTTAAGTGCTTGGCTGCTAACTGAAAGGTCAGTGGTTAGAACTCACCAGCCGCTCCACAGAAGACCTGGTGATCTGCTACCATAAAGATTTCAGCCTAGGAAACCCTCTGGGGCAGTTCTACTCTGTCATATAGGGTCGTTGTAAGTCGGAATCAACTTGACAGCATACAACAACAACATCTATGAAAGGGAGCTAACAGCAATACTTTTCTTACAAGTTGCTATACAGTTTCAATGAGTTAGTGCCTGACAATCATTAAGTACTAAATAAATACAATGTTATTAAAAAGGGCAGCCCTGGTGGCCTAGTGGTTAAGAGCTCGGCTGCTAACGAGAAGGACTGCTTTATGGTACTTTGGAAGCAGAATCAGCTTTTCCAATATATATGGCTATCATTTACATTTTTATCATTAATTGTTTTGATCAAAAGTTACATAATGTATATGCTATTTTATTTATAATATCTAGGATGTAAGTATATGCATCTAAATTATTAAATGAGAGACCAAAAGAAGACCAGCTTATATTAAGGACTCTCAATAGTAATCAAGGGAGAGGTGACTTGGTGTAATGGGATAAATAGCGCACCAACGAGTGAGGAAAGGTGGCTTCAGATCCTGGCACTGCTGATGGGCAGCTGTGAGATCCTCAGGAATCTATTTAATGTTTTGAGGTTAAGTTTCATCTTTAACACAAAGGGGTTGGGCCAGGTGGACTTTAAACATAAATGAGAAAAGTTATGCAAAATGCAGGGCCTGGCATATAATATCCAAACAGTATCAGCTATCATAATTACAGTAATAATTATTATTATAGCTCCAGAATCCTATTAGTCTTTAACTTAAACATAATCCTTAGTCTGGTATTCAAGGCCTTCCATACACACTCCCAACCCACCTTTCTAGCCTCATTTCTCCGTGATGCAGCCAAATCTCAGCACCAGTTTTGCCTTAAACCCACCCACTTTTCTTCCTTCCATCTTTGCCCAGACTTTTCTGCTCAGAATGCCTCTCCATGTCCATCATTGTTTGCTTGCATCCCACCATTCTTTAAGGTCCATCTTCACCATCATGTCTTTCAAAAAGACTTTATCCATCCTCTAGATGGATATGATAGGTTCTTTTTTTTTTCTCTAACTCCCACTGCACTTTCTACCTCTCTTAGCTCCTTTGGCAGCCCTACCTGGTATAACAGTTATTTGTCTTAACATCATCGACAGGACCAGAGGCTTCTTGAGAGCAAAAACTCACTACTCATCTTTATATCACCTGCTTAGCACAGTGCCTTGCACATAGTAGGTACACAGTAAGGATTTCTTGAGATGAATGGAATTGAACTCACCAGTGGGCACGTGACAAATGGCTCCTTGGAGAAACGACTCGCAGGCTGTGCTGCTCCAGTGTCCGCTGGTGTCGGCAAAAACACAGTCACCCAGGAAGGACGACTCCTCATCTTTCCAATAAGTGAAAGAGGATTTGGTGCCATCAGACCAGTCAAAATTAAGACCATTCTGTGGAGGGAAATTGAGTCATCATTTCCTTGTCAAGGCTGCTGGCGACATCACCCAATGCTGTCTGAGCATCCCACACCTCACACAGAGATTTGTATTTCCATATCTCTTTTAGGGGAAACTTGTGGATATGGCCTGACAAAAAGAATTATCTGCCACAAATCATATCTTTTTTAATGTTGGAGAATCCTTGGTCCTCTGCCACCATATTTTCCCAGTAAGCAATATGAGTGAAGTTCAATCAATACCTTGTTCTTTACACCAAAATAAATTTCAGATTGATCAAATATTTAAATGTAAAGTTGAAAACATAAAAGTGTTACAAAAAACTTGTCCGAATTTTTTACACTTTTGGTGTTGGGAAAATCGGTTTCCAAGTCTGATACAAAACCCAAAGACCATAAAGCAAAATTGGCTACATAAAGTTAAAACATTCTGTAATACAAAAATACAATACATAAAGTAAAAATCAAACGGAAAAAATAGCTCTTATGGGCAATTAAAGAACTCTCACAGATCAATAGGAAAAAGATACACACATACACACACACACAGAAAATGGGCAAAGATCTCAAGTAGTAAGTTCACAGAAAAAAATAAAAATGTCCAATAGCATGTAAAGTACTCAATCACCTTTGTAATTAAAGAATGTATGTTAAAACAACCATGAAATATCATTCTTTTGCCTATCCCACTAACAAGGATTAACATTTTGATAATACCAGGGTTGGCAAAGATGTTGGGAAGCCAGATATTACTATACACTGTTATTGGCTTGTAAATTGGTGCTAACTTTTGGAGGGCAATTTGGCACCGCTTATTAAAATTTAAAGCACGCTCAGTTATTTCACTTCTGAGAATTTATCCTACTTGCACAAGGATATTTGCTGTGCATTGTTTGTAACTGTGAAAAACTGGGAAGAACCCAAATGTCCATTTATAGGGGAATGGTTTAATAAACTGTGCTATACCCTTACATGCCCCTGTCACAAATAATGAGTTAGATTTTTATGTGCTGATATGGAAAGCTGTAAAAGGCATTTTAAATAAAGCAAGTTTCAGGGCATATATGTAGTATGATCCCATTTGTGTTTAAAAATGATATATATAGTCATCCCATACATGTGTATATGTGTGCTTATGTAGAAAATTTCTAGATGACACACAAGAAACTATTTACGGTGATTAACTTTGCAGAATAAAACTAGACATAGGTTTAGAATAGATTTTATGTTTCACTAAAAAAGTTTTCCTTTCCCAACCACATCCCTAGGAGAGGGGGAAAACCCCATGTGTTAAATTTCAAGAGAGGTACTAAATTAATTAATAATCAAATTTCTTGGTAAGTAGCGTGACTCATTTTTTTCTTGGGGACGCCTTAAATGCAACAAATTGCCCACATGCAGATGCTTCAGTTTAAGATGTGTTCCCATGCACACATGAGGCAGTATCCTGGGAAACTAAAAAATTCTCGGAGAGCCTTTGAAGGAGATTAATATGCAGAAGTTAGTCAAGTGGGTGTGTACCTAAAAAAAAAAGGTGTACACCCTTATTTTGTAGTCATAGGTTGCTCATAAGGTTGGTCAGTAGTTACTGTATAAATCAATTATTTAAATCACATTTCTATTATTTCTGGTAACATTTTTTCTGTGCTAAATTCAGTGGTCATATCATTTAGGGGGTAAATGTGAGATTTAATTTTGCAAGGGTGTTCCAAGGGATTTAGGGCACCTACATCTGCAGTGAACAGTCCAATCCAGTGAGCATGTCCTAGCCGGTTGAGGATAACTGTGAGGAAGGACTGGTGATACTGGTCTGTAATGCTAACCAGTTCTGCTCCATGCATCAGGCAGGCTTTCATTGCTGTATACCAAGTCATATTTGCATTAATTACTTTGTAAGTCCTGTTTCCATATTCTAAAGTACTGGGGATTGGATACATATCAGATATATTTACATCATGTCCAGAAGTATCTAGAACAAGAACAAGAACAAAAATCACTTGCAGCATCTGGATGAGAAAGAGGGAGGCCAAGTTTAGATGAACCTCTGTCACCATGATCCATGCTGACACACGTGGGGTCATCATGAGTTGGAATCAACTCAACATCACCTGGTTGTTAACATCAGAGAATTTTTCTTCCCAGAATTGACTATTTCAAAATGAGAACACTACCTGAAATTGTAGGTCATGCTAAAGAATTAGAACACTTAGGAAATTTAATGACTGGTTTCTTCAAAACTATAAACATATACTGAAGCATTTCTGGAAGATTTCACCTTTTTGAAGATCCCTTGTCTAAGTGACCACTTTTTAAAATTTTTTTTGTTTATTGTTGTAGTTTACATGAAGTTTACATTTCAAGTTAGTCTCCCATACAAAAATTTATACATACATTGTTACGTGACCTTAATTGCTCTTCCCATACTGTGACAGCACACTCCTCCTTTCCACCCCATTCTCCATGTCCATTCAACCAACTCCTAACCCTCTCTGCCTTCCCATCTCATCTCCAGACAGAAGCTGCCCGTTTAGTCTCTTGTATCTACCTGAGCTAAGAGGTACACTCCTCACGAGTATCACTTTATGTCCCACAGTCCAGTCCAACCCCTGTCTGAAGAGTTGGCCTTGGAAATTGTTTTAGTTCTGGGCTGATAGAGAATCCAGGAGCCATGCTTTCCGGGGTTCCTCCAGCCTCATTCAGACCATTAAGTCTGATCAAAGTGACCAATTTTTGATGGAACTGATGGTGATCTTCTCAGGCAGGTTTCACTCCACTAGCTGCACTCAGCCTAGCACAGCCTGCTCTAGCAGAACTTAATGCTTCCTAATAAAATACTGATACGTATCATGTAGTCAAATGTTGTACTGCAAACAGAATATTACAAGTGGATGTTCTCAGATATGACACTCGATTCAACTTTTGAGACAGTATGATAGTCACCATCATGTTTAAACTTTACATGTGTAAATTCTAAGAATTTTTTTTAATTAAGTAAATAAATGCTCAGAAATAGACATAATTCTTATAAAAAGTTACTATTAATGCCTCACCTGTCAGAGTCAAGGTTTATAAGTTAAAAGCCAATGTTTTCACACACAGTCATTAGTGCTTATGTGTTCATAAGGGCTGTAATCATGTGAAAACCAAACCCGTGCTTTATATACAGATGTTTCTCCTTTAATACGTGCATTTGACTTTTTGTTCTGTATTATATTATGTACTAGGATAAGCTAAGTTTAGAAAACATAAAAACAAGGTAAGTTTCCAAACTGTCTGATCCAGAGTGACTTGTATTCCTCCCTGTATACTAGCTTTATTACATGGGCAAATCAGTTTATCTCTCTAAACCTCAAATTTCTGGTCTATAAGAAATTAGAAAGGCCTCCTTTAGAAGGGTGTGGGTAAAACTAAGTGACATATCCATATAGGGCACATACTACAGAACTTAGGACACAGAGGCAATAAATGTTGGTTTTGCTGCCTGGTCCTCCTCTTGCCACATTCCCCCCAATAAAAATGGCAAAGTGGGAACTTGACTTTTACCTGAAAATGTTACCTCAATATGGTATAATACACATTGTAAAACCAAAGTGAAATTAATCTTTTTACTAACTGAATTATGACAGATCACACTTTTATGATCCATTTAATCTTTGCTAGAAATCTATTTGCCAGTCAACATGTTGAGTCTAAAGTTATTGATATAATACTAATGTAATACAAAAGCAGCTATTTAAAAATTATAAAAATTAGTAAAATTAAAGTTACTGGAAGTCTCTGTATACGTGACCTGAATAACAATTTGATTGTTTCTCCACTAAACTACACATCTGTATTTTTACATATATGAATTTCTCCCTATGTAACTCATTCTATTAATTTATAAACATAGGTGACTTTGAGCTACATGATTTTGCCACCCATTGTCCTGCAAAAGAAGGGTCTATTGGAAGCCAAGTTCCAAATCTGGGGCCTTGACTTTGACCTCATTTCTCTTTTCCAGATTTCTCCATGCTTTCAGATAGATAAGAGATTTTAGGCTCTGAGCCAAATGTAAGCACATATTTATCTGGCAGATAGAGAAGTGGAGCAGAACTTGGGGGTTTTCACTGTAGGCCACAAGAGTTTGTAAAGTTGAGTAAATTTTTTGTGTAGTTGAATTTTGGCAACTAGTAAAAGCAATTATTATTGATGAACATATTCTGGGAACTATGCTAAACATTATATATACACAGACTCTGTGAGACAGTTATTACCCCAATTTACAGATGAGGAAATTGAGGTTCAGAGAAGATAAGTAACTTGTCCAACAGATTGTTTACAGAGATGGGATGGGAACCCAGGTGAGATGGGAATTCCAGTGTCTGTGTTAAACCACCACTACTATATACTGTCTCCGAAAGAGCATACATATTGTTAGTCACAAAAATATCAAAGACAGAAAGTGGTCAGAGAGTAAATTTCAAGAAGAGATCAGCATCAAGGTAGTAGAACAGAATCACTGTACTTTACTGAGAGACCTGAGTGTGTTCTTCATAGAACTGTGGGGATTTTATGGCATAATGTTTATAAAACCAAGGCCCAGCCAGGGCCAGGAACATCAGAAGCGTACAAGTACATGGTATATTGATGTTCTTTCCCTACAAGGCTCTGCTCTTCCCATAATACTCTTGCTATATCTGATCTAGGGAGCCCTGGTGGCACAGTGGTTAAAGCACTCGGCTACTAACCAAAAGGTCGGAATGGTATAAGGAGCCTAACCAAAAAACAAACAAATGAAAACCAAACACGTTGCTGTCGAGTAGATTCCAACTCATCGCGACCCTATAGGACAGAGTAGAACTGCCCCATAAGGTTTCCAAGGAGTGGCTGGTGGATTCGAACTGCCGACTTTTTGGTTAGCAGTCGAATGCTTAACCACTGTACCAGCAGAGCCCCTTAGGGAGCCTAACACCCAGTAAAAGCACAATAGATGTTAGCTATTGTTGTTGTTGTTAGTGTTTTTATTTTTATCACTAATGTTCACACTATCTATAATAGTATGGCTTTGGTATTTCACACCAGAGGCCCCTGTGATTTTGGCCATCAGATCTGGAAACATGACTGCATGCCATATTTAGCTACAAAAATCATTTTTTTTTTTGAACATTTTATTGTGGTTTAGGTGAAGAAATCATTTTTAAGGGTCCAAGAAAAAAGTGAGCATGAATTGGTTTATTTCCCCAACTCTTTTCAACATTTTTTCAATGTCTTTTTTTATTGCCTGAACAGACACATAATCTCAGAGCAAAGCAATAAAGCCTTTCAGTATGACTAAAATGGATTCATAACCTTGGTCACCACCCAAGTGGCCTCTACAGTCCCAAGAATGCCACTATAGGGCAGAAGTCTGTGATAGCAGAGAATTAAATGACTAAATATATGTAAAGCTCAAAGAATAAGTGCCTGGCACTCTTAGCTATGAAACTGTTTGCTACACAGCTGTGTAAAACAAATATGGAAGAGATGAATGAGCCATAGAAATGAAAGGAATAAAAAATAAATATATCTTACCCTGCATTTTTTCACAAATAAACCCATAACCTTCTTTTCCACAGTCTTCGAAATACCATTTTCCAGTGAAATGAAAATTAGGATTACTTGACAGCAAGGCACAGAGAGGAGTGTGTTTTTGAACTTCTCTGGTGTTATGACGTGGAATCTTTAAGAGAATATATAAATGTTACCAAAAAAAAAAAGGTCTTTGAAATTTGTATTCAGCACATAATTTTCTGATTAAAACACAATTACTATTCATTTATTTGCATTTAATAAGCCTGTTCACAACTCATTTCATAACCTACAAAATAATTATTGTGATGAGTAATTACATTTATGGAACATATGAAAATTATACAGATTACATTATTAAAAATTAAAACTTTTAACAACAGACATACAAATTTATGCCTATAAAAACTTGAGTAAACAAGTTTTGAATAGAAGCTCATGCTAAAATCATTTCTATAGAAAATGAATCTTAAAACTTACATTTATAATATCAAATGGGGACCAGTTAGAATATACTACAGACTTTCCATTTAGCCATTTTTCATAATCATCATTTTGTAACCCTATCCACATATTAGTCGTCTGGCCAAAAAGATTCATAGTAATGAAAGCTGAAAAATAGGAATACATTACCAAATTTAATACCATATAAACCATTTGGGTATTCATTGAACTCTGTTTATAGCTATGATTATATTTAAATGACAGGAAAACTTAATTACAAATCAATTGTAGGAATTGGTTATTTTGTCCTTGTTAAGGTAATGCAGTCTCTTTCACTTTCATTTCACTTAAATTGACAGAAATTAGCTGGCTAAGCCTGAGATTTCATTATATCGGTTACAAAACAATTTTCAGTGTTCATTCATTGCCTTTCTAGTGAAAAGATTTATCCACTATATTTAAGCTAGAGTATAAAACAAACAAACCAAACCCATTGCCATCAAGTCCATTCCAACTCAGAGCGACCCTATAGGACAGAGTAGAACTGGCCCATAGGGTTTCCAAAGAGTGGCTGGTGGATTTGAACTGCTGACCTTTTGGTTAGCAGCCATAGCTCCTAACCACTACACCACCAGGGTTTCCAAGCTAGAGTATACTATTGGCTGAGTATCAAAAGTGTACAGGTAAGTCTCAAAGGATCTATATAGGTAAATCTCAAAGGATCTAAAAAATTACACCACACAGTTGTAATAAACTATACCCCAGATTATTTTAACTACCCAGAAATACAGATCATAAATATATCTCTATTCTTTCTGTTATTACCAGTGAGATAAAAGATTCCAAAAATAAGCAGTTTATTAGCAATGCAGTATACTAACTTTTATAGCTGTCATGATATATTAAAAACAAAAACCTTACAGGTTAAATGGAAAACTTCTGTGCCCCAGCAACATAATACTTTAAATACTGATTTGGAAATGTTAGTAATTTTTTAAATGCTTGAATAGAAATGGTTATTTTGGCCTAGTTGAACACTGAATACTCTACCTTGCTCCACCTCACTTTCAATGGAGACCAGTGCCCCTCCCTCTTCAACACAGAAATTTTGAGCAGATGTCCAGTTCTTCTGATGGCTTGGATCTTTGGGGATTTTCACCAAAAGGCACTATCAAAAAAATGTCAAAACAAAGTGTTCAGTTCTGCATTTTTCTAAATAAAATTAAGATTTCCCAAAGATACTCTGAAGATTACCCTTGAAAATTCTTTGAAATCTTTTTGGGCAAAAATAACCCATTTTTTCCTTCACCTGTTCCAAAACAGAGCAACAGCTTTCAGGGTGAGTCGATAACTTGCATGCATTTGCACCTGGCAGGACTAGAAACAAGGATGTGTGTTGTAGACAGGATTTCTGAACATTGTCTTTTGCTCAATGAAAAATATTATTCCCCCCTAAAAAAGAGCCAGCCTGACTGCACACTTTACAGGGGCAGATTCATCTAAAAAAATTGTGGGAGTGGAAATGAACAGCTTAGTTCAATTTTATTTGCAAGAACGTTTCCTCACATTAAGTGGAAGAGGAATACTTAAGAATCAAACCATATCAGGTATTTAAATTCATTAAATACTTGTAATCAGACTTTTGGTCAATAAGTCAATCAGGCAGAGCCAGAAAAGAAACGATGAGCCCAGTGGTAGGAAAAGCAGGCAAAGGTAGGACCAAGGAAACAGGAGAAGAAGAAAGGGAGGCTTTGGCCGGCAATGTCAAGCAGAAAATAAAAGGCTGTGGGACTGGGCAATGAGAGGTTGATCGTCACTTATGAGAGAATCATGTCTGCTGCCTACTTGGCAGGTAAGGCAGGGTTGAAGGTAAGCTTCCCCCACCCTTTAAAGTTCAATGAGGAGTCCCTGGGTGGTGCAAACAGTTAATGCGCTTGGCTGCTAACTGAAAGATTGGAGGTTCAAGTTCACCCAGAGGTGCCTCGGAAGAAAGGCTTGGTGATCTACTTCTGAAAAATCAACCATTGAAAACTCTAGTGAGCACGGTTCTACTTTGACACATACTGGGGTCGCCATGAGGTGGAATCAACTCAATGGCAACTGGTTTTAAAGCTCAGTGAAATTTAAACAGATTGGTAGGACCAGATAGAGTCAGGGGAGAGGGAGAGATAAGAGAAAATAGGCTATAATGGATCAGGCAAGGTTCCAGAAGAGTCAGGAGGGACTTTATGCAAAGGGTAAAGTGAAATTTTGCGAAATCGGAGGATTTTTCCCCCTCAGGGGATATTTGACAATGTCTGGAGATATTTCTCGTTGCCAAAACTGGGGAGAGGGTTGTTATTGGCATCTAGCGGGTAGAGGCAAGGGATGCTACTCAACATTCTACAATGCACAGGACAGCTCTCATAGCACAGAAGTATCTGGCCCAAAATATCAATTGTACCAAGGTGATTCTTCTCAAAACTCAGTCCTGATGATGTCATTCTTTAAAGCCCTACAGGGGTTTTCTGTTGCTCTTAGGATAAAAACCAGAAACCCTGATCTAGCCTGAAATTGAGTTACCAACTAATAGGCTATACATCCTTTTGGTTCCCTTTACCTTGTATGTTTCACAAAGAAACTGAATTGGTTTTAAAGGAGTTTACTTTTATAACAACTTCCCTTTTATCTATTTCTTTTCTTTTTGCCTCTTTCTTCTAATTACAAATTCCAAAGCGTGGCACATACTAATTATTAGGAAGTCTTATCATTTAATGCGAATTCACCTTGTGTTCAGATAGTCACACTAATGAACCATTCAAAAATACCAATGAGTCTTGCTGGTTCTGCTAGCTCAATAAATCTCTTCAGAAAAACAACCCCCACACACGCCCTCGACACACTCACAATGTTTGCTTCAGTCAAGATTTACTAGATTGACTATGGGAGTGTGGCCTCCCATTACTACGACTTCATTGTTTCTAAAAATACAACATATTTACTAAGATACTCCGAAATGGTATCATTAATAATTAAAACAAAGCAAGTACAGCATCTTTAATTATAAACTGTTTATTTACTTACTAATTTGCAAACTGTGATCAGATTTAATGCATCTCTGATAACTACTGTGATTTAAGGAGGTACTATTATATTCCAAGAAGCCCTGGTAGTGTAGTGGTTAAGAGCTTGGCTGCTAATCAAATGGTCAGCAGTTCGAATCCACCAGGTGCTCCTTGGAAACCTTATGGGGCACCTAGGGTCACTATGAGTCGGAATCAACTCGACAGCAATGGGTTTATTATATTCCAAACAAGTTTTGAATATAAAATTCTTCTTTGTCTCAAAGTCATTTCCAGTTCAACATTTGAATCATAACACCCCTTACCCCTCACTTGACAATGAATGGCACAGTCAGCCATACATTTACATAAGCTAGAAACCTGGGGGTCATCCTTGCCCTCCCACTCCATCACCCCTACAACTCTACCAATTGGACATCTCATTTCTCATATACCTACCCCCCCACCCCCACCCCACTGTCTCTCCCTACACCATCTGAGCCCAAGCTATAATCTTTTGCCTGGACCACTGCAGTAGCTTCCTAACTGCTATCCTTACCCTTGCCCTTCTCCAGGCCACCCTTGGTGCTGCACCCTGAGTGATAGATACTTTTCAAAACTCAGTCTTGATGTCACTCTTTAGTTTAAAACCCTTCAGGGGATTTCCATTGCTTTTAGGATAAAAGCCAGAAACTAACATAACATGGTCCTTGCCTGTCTCTTTAGTCAGTCTCACTTCTCACCGTTTTAGGGTCTCTATGCTTCCTTTTGTTTCTTAAATATGTCACATTCTCTCTCACCACAGGACCTTAGCACATGTTGTTACCACTACCTTAATGCTCCCTGCCCTTCTGACCACCTCAGTCAGGTCCTCCTGTTATACACTTTTGTAGAACGATATAACTCTCCTTCACGGCCTGTGTCACAGTTTTAAATGATAGTTATTTTCCTGATTGATTTATTAATGTTTGTTTCCCGTCGAGTCTGTTAGCTTGAAAAGAGAAGGGCTTGTGTGTGTTTTTCCTCATAACTGAATTGCTAATATCCAATGTAGTTAAATGAATGAATAAGTGAATAAAGTGTTAAGAATGTGAATAAATTCCAAATAGAGCGTTGTTAAGGGAAAAACTATGTAATGTATGAAATCAAGTATTGATGAAACCCAAACTAGATGGTGCAAAGTAGCCATTAGCACTCAGTTAAGGTTCTTGAATAAAAAGATGTAAATAGAAGCACAAGAGCTAATCTAGAATAATTAGAATTTCTTCCTTCCACAGTTCTGCTGTGACAAGTATCTGAGATGACTCACTCTCCCGGGAGTAATTCCTGGTCAAACACCTTTTACATCATCAAACACGGAGAAGATAATTTATGAGACACTAGAAAAGATGCTTAACTTCTGAGTCAGTTTTTAAAACTCTAAAAGGTGGGTAATTAGTCAATCAACTAAGTTTTTTTTCCTTAGAAATAAAAATTAGTCCTAAGAAATTGCCCAACAAACAGCAAAGTTTAATGGGGCATAATATAGGGAAACTCACTGAGCTGTGTGAAGTGAGTAATGTTTTCATTGTTATCCACAATTTTCCTTCTGTAGCTGTATTTGTTAAACAGGAAAGACCATCACTAGTGGGCTCTCTACTCTTCTCAGCTATCAGTCCTCCTACTACCAGCTTTTCTAATAATCTGATAAACCCACTTATTCCAAGGTATGGATGACAATGAGGCAATCTCTGAAGTATTTCCCTTGAAAAGAATAAAGGAAAATGTTAAATCAAAGGAATGACACTCTAATGGTGGAGTTTTAGCCATCAACGTGCAGGGGAAGGCAACTTGGTTGGGGAGACATTAATGGTGACTCTGAAATTGTGCCCTATAAATGGTCACCTACTCATGAAGCCCGCTGTGACAGTATCCTTTGTAATCAAATCCTCTGACTGATTTGAAGACAAGGTTGTGGAACCATTACTGTTGAGTTGGTGGGAAAATATTGGCAGCACATTACAATCACCAAGGGAGCTTAAAAAGCAAAAAACAAAAAACTGATGCCTGAACTCCAAGCAGATTAATTAAATCAGAATCTTTGGGGTGTTACCTGGGCCTTGATAATTTTTAGAAGCTCCCTAGGTGATACTAAATACGTGATTAGAATTGAGAACCACTGATCTAGCTGTTGGTTATTGACAAAGATTTTTTTTCAAACTCTGAGCTATGAGAGCATGTTTTAATCATTCTTCATACCTAGCTTCTACTTTCATGTATGTGTTTGTGCCTTACCCATGCCCCTTTCTATTTCTCTTAAAGGAAGCATTTGCTTGATTTTCTGCCTTGGGTTTGTTCTACTAGGCTCCATATCACTCCATCCTACCTACATGTGTACATACTGCCTGTATTTACACAGGAGGGAACATGGGTTGGACCTAAACTGTGTGCATAAAAAAAGTTTTGGAAGGATAATAGTCAAAGACTGAACCCAAAACAACTACTATGGGTTTCTAAGAATTATTCCTCTAATGTCAAGGATTTGACTTGCCATTAATCTCCTTATAATATTCCCTTTTATAAATGGAGGAAGTATGAGTTAGTAACTAGATCGGTCGTGTTCATGCTTTTGGGATGCTTACTGTCTGTACCAAAATGTGACTTTCAGACAAGATAGGCATTTCTTTGTGTCTGTTCCCTACAGGCTGCTCCAGGATGCGCTTGCTCTAACAGCTCTGAAAAACTAATTGACAAAGGTTTTGATAAAAGATTTAATAATCCTCAGTGTCCCACTGAATGATATTAGCTACAAGTTTCTCCTACTGAAATGTATAAATAATTTACAACTGGTAGAAAGATTTTGTAGTTTGAGAAAATAGGAAGCAGATAGAAAGCATCATCTATTAAAAACTAGTGTACATCAGCACTACATTAAAGTTTTAGAGAACAACTATATTTTTCTAGAAAATGTCTCACAGTCCCACTGGGCTGATTGTATCCTGAGGCTGAGCTGATTTGGCAATTCTTAAGTTCTTATACGAAGGGGCAGCTATAGGAGAGGGGCAAACCTGACTTTGATTCTTAGTCTGACACTTATTTGCTGTGAAACTTCAGAAAAGTCATAATTTTATCAGCCTCAGGCTTCTCATTCATAAGATGGGGATAATAATTCTGTGTATTCAAAAAATTTAATAAAATAAGAAAAATCTATGAAGTCAATCAGGAAAACCAGTGCCAAATAACGTAGTGGGTGCTCGACGAATGTGAGTAAAATCCAAGTGGGCCCATCTCACACCGTGACAATGGGAGTAAGATCACACAGAACGAGAGGAGGTCCTCCCTATATAATCGAACAATTAGACTGAAAATTGGTTGTCCATTATGGAAAAGCAATTTCATATTAGCATATCAAATTATGACCCATTTTGGGTTTTTTAATTATCAACAGAACCAAGAGTTAAATGAATTTAACTGGGATACATTTTAATTACTTCTACCTAAGGCCTATAAAGTTATTTTACTATAAAACATAGGGAGGGGAAGAAAAGGCTAGGCCCTTACTGAAGGCAGTGTCAGAAATAATAAATCTGGTTTACAATATCCCTACTGGCAATTTTTTTTTTTTTTTTTTAAATTCTGCACGGAAGCACCAGCTTTATGAGGCTCAAGATGATGTTGACTGACCTAAGTTAGACCAGTCAGTTGGTCAATTCACACTGAGGGCAGAGCTCTGTGCTGGCTCCAGGCAAGGAAGACACAAAAGGGAAGACAGGATCAGGGATCCACAGAAGTTACAGGTTATTTGGGACAGGACCTAGACACACACACACACACACACACACCACCTAATGAAAAATTTATATAACGTAATGAATGGCTGTGCCAGTAAGTAAAAACAGAGCATCATAAACGCTGAGGAGTGGTGTCAAGACTGTTTCTGACAAAACTTTTTATTCTGAGAGGCTTGTTCCTAAATTGAAAACTTCCCAAATCTCTTGAAAGTTCTGACAAAAAAATTCCAGGTCCTACTGACAACTCATTATTTTTAAAAGTCACTCTCATTTTTAAAAATTACTTTCCAAATTAGCATCTGCAGAGGAGAACAAAAGCAACTTTTTTTTTGCATGTTGTATATATATCTTTTTTTTCTTGTTATTTGCTTATTGTCTATCTACCCTTCCCTAGAACCTAGAAGAGTAGGTGCCCAGTAAATACTTATTGATTGGATGAATAAACCCGCATAACAGCCCCTCTTCCCTCATTTTACAGATGAATAAAAGCAACGTTTTGAAAACAAATTACCTTATAGTTAAAATATAGCCATCCTTTGGGACACATTCCATGTTGTTTTGGTGTATCTTTCTCTTTCTCTATGACCCAAAACTTTTTTCGCTTACAAATACTAGGCATGGAAGCAGAACACTCTTCACTGCCCCAGAGTCCTGGAGGAGAAAACAGTTTAGAAACAGTGTGGAAACAATGGTGACTCATTGTAAGCACTTTCTATTGATCATTATTTTTGTGATTCCTATAGTTTGTCTTTTTTTACTTCTAGAAACTGAACTAAGGAGCCCTGGTGGTGCAAATGGTTAGGTGCTCGGCTGCTAACCAAGAGGTTGGCAGTTCAAACCCACCAGCCGGCTCGATAGGAGAGAAGACCTGGTGATCTGCTCCTGTCAAGATTACATCCTAGGAAACTCAATGGGACATTTCTACTATGTCATATAGGGTCACTATGAGTTGGAATTGACTTGATGGCACACAACAACAGAAACTGAACTAAATTTAACTAGACATCATAGAGTTCTCTAGTGACAACAGCTAACTGGGCAACACGCCAAATCAATCACTGTAATTCAAGAATGTAGAAATTTTGCAAATGCAAAAAAAAAAAAAATGAATTAAACTCTGCAGTTGAAATCATAGAACTGATCAAAATCTTAAGAATATTTGACTTGGGTAGCAAAAGGATACTTTGTTTTAAAATATCCAGCTTCAATGTAGAGGGGAAAAAAGATTCTAAAACAATAGATGATCATTTTTCACTTTATAATTCTTTCAAAAATATAATAATTTGGAAACACCAGCTCAGGAACTTCTAAGAAAGTAGCACTTCTCAACACTGACCCTTAAATAAAACAGACACACATATAAACACGCCCACAGTAAAATATACTGTGAAGTCCTCAGGCTCCTGGAAAATATTTTTGTTTAATTTAGAAGATCTATATTTTCAGAATAAGGGTTATGGAAGGCATTTCATTAACATTCAAGTTATATATTCCAGAACAGGGCAAGGATGCATGCAAACAGCAAGGAAAGACTCAGAGTTCTAGTTTCAGGAATATGAGCCAAAAGGACGTCGGCATTTTGAAGGAGGGATTAATGCTAGTTTCAATGCAGATTAGCTGTTTTCCCACACTCACAAAGCAGCCCTTTCTGTAGGCTGTTGTGACACCTGCTGGCAAAAGCAAGCTCATTAACCACATGGCTTTTCCTCTCCTAACCTCTGTAGAGGCCCTCACAGCAAGGATTGCTTTTCATGGTTATCCCTCCCCTGACTTAGGGTACAAGGTTAGTTGTGAATCTGTTAGGGCTGGGGACATTATTACCTTTTATTAGTTAGAAATAGAGAGGTAGATATGAGTGGACAATGCAACCAAAACAATACTGTCCTGACAAATAGAATTTAAAAAAATCCTCAACATAAATGTACTTCTAAACCCAACCTGCAAACAGTTGCTGTTCTAAGGCAAGCAGCATTTAATACTAGGTATTAAAGCAAAACAAAACAAACTAACAGAAAGAATACTGAATTCAATTAAAAAATTTATTAAATGGGAAAATGGAAGGCAATTTCACAGGTGTTAAAATTCTGGCTAATTATAATCTAGACACTAGGAACAGATAAACAAAAAATGGGTTGATTTGCAGAGAATAGCATTTGTCAGGCATATTAAAAAATTTTTTTTTTATTGTGCTTTAAGTGAAAGTTTACAGAGAAACAGAGAATTAGTTTCCCATTTGATAGAATGTGCATAAATTGTTCCATGACATTGGTTGCATTCCCCACAATATGTCAGCACTCTCCCCATTTCTGCCCTGGGTTCCCTGTTTCTTTTCATCCAAATTTTCTACCCCTCTTGCCTTCTCATCTTTGCTTTTGAGCAAATGATCTTGTGTAATTGATTGTTCTAAGGAACATGTTCCTCTCGGGTGTTATTGTTTATTTAAAGGCTTGTCTATGGTTTTGCTGGAAGGTGGTCTCTGGTCAGAAGTGTGTCTTAGGGCCACAGTCTTTGGGGTTCCTCCAGTCTCTGTCAGACCAGTAAGTCTGGTCTTTTTTGTGAATTTGTTGTTTTGTTCTACATTTTTCTCCCACTCTGTCTGGGACTCTTTGTTTCGATCCCAGTCGGAAAGGTCGGTAGTGGTAGCCAGGCACCATCTACTTCTTCTGGGCTCAGGCTGGTGGAGGCTACGGTTCATGTGTTCCATTAGTCCTTTGGACTAATTGCTCCCTTCAGTCTTTGGTTTTCTTCACTCTCCTCTGCTCCGGATGGGAAGACACCAATAGTTGTTTCTTAGATGGCCACTCACAAGCGTTTAAGACCCCAGACACTACTCACCAGAGTAGGATACAGAGCATTGTCTTTATGAACTATGTTGTGCCAATTGACATAGATGTCCCTGAGTCTATGATCATTCACCTTCTAGCCTAAGAACTTCATCCCTCAAGGTGTTTCGTTATGTCTAAGAAGTTTCCATGACTGTGCCCCTTGTGTGCTCTATCGTCTATATTAATATACATGTAGCACCTACAATTATGTATGTAGAAATAGCACAGCCAAACCTATCTCTGTGGGTAGATGTGCTCCCTTAAACTCTCCCACACCTGTCTGGCTTATCTATGTATCCATTAATAAATTATTGTTTAATACTATTGTTACAGGATTGTCTATGTTCTAGTAAATGTCGTAGTTGCCTTTTATTCTTGCATTCCTCTCAATGTCTTCCTTTGCCTTGGTCATGTTGTGCTGACTGCCCCCATATTGTGTATTGCCTGCTCCTTCACCAAAGTTAACATGTGTCCTCTATCTAGTTAGTTATTTTTCCTCTCTCTCCCTCCAATCCCTAGTAACCATCAAATAACGGTTTTCTTTTTTTCTGTGTGTAAAACTTTTCTTGTTTTTTTATAATAATGGTATCACATCATACAATATTTGTCCTTTTGTGATTGACTTATTTCACTCAGCATAATGTCCTCCAAATTCATCCATGCTATGAGATGTTTTGTGAATTTGTCAGTATTCTTTATCGTTGTGTACTATTCCGTTGTGTGTATGTATCACAGTTTATCTATTCATCATGATGGGCACTTAGGTTGTTTCCATCTTTTTGCTATTGCAAATAATGCTACAATGAACATGGGTGCTGCATATGTCTATTTGTGTCACAGCTCTTATTTCTTTAGGGTATACACCTAGGAGTGGAATTGATGGATCATATGATATTTCTAGTTCTAGCTTTTTAAGGAAGTGCCATACCGTTTTCCATAGTGGTTGTATCATTCTATATTCCCACCAGCAGTGTGTAAGAGTTACAATCTCCCCACAGCCTCACCAACATTTGTTAGTGTGTGTGTGTGTGTGTGTGTGTGTGTGTGTTTAAATTGGTGGCATTATTGTTAGGGTGAGATGGTATCTCATTGCAGTTTTGATTTGCATCTCTCTAATGGCTAATGAGGAGCCCTGGTGGCACAGTGGTTAAGCATTCGGCTGCTAACCAAAAGGGTGACGGTTCGAATCCACCAGCCGTTCCCTGGAAACCCTGTGGGGGAGTTCTACTCTGTCTTATAGGGTCACTATGAATCGGAATGCAGTCAAGGGCAATAGGTTTTGTTGTTGTTTGTTTTAATAGCTACTAATCGCAAGCATTTCTTCATGTGTTTGTTAGCCACCTGGATGTCTTCTTTGGTGAAGTGTCTGTTCATTATCAGGCATATTTTTGGTGCTATCTTGGTTCATGAGGAAGGACTTACCCAGATGTAAATTATTTTCAAGAACATGAGTGCATGGATTAAATAGAAGGAATGACCATCCTGAATCCTAGAAGGAATGACCATCCTGAATCCCAAGACTGATGAAATTGAACATATTCAACTGAAAAGCAAAATAACCAAACAAAAAACTTCTTGCTGAATTAATACAAAGAAGTCTTCAAGACTTCTGAAAACTATCAGTTTGTATTAAAAATCCCACAAAGAGATAAATAAAACGACCTGTTACAGATGAAATGAAGCCACATCTCTGGCTCTGATTATTCACAGATCTGTCTCTTTCTTTGTCCCAGTTCTGGTATATTAATGGTGTTCCATCTCTCCAGCTGTAGGAAAATTAAAAAATTTAAGGTCTCTCATTCTGCATGTTCAACCTCCATCACCACTCTTGGAGTTCTAGGGTGTGGATTGAAGACATAATATTCTATTAAATTTAAAAAGACACTCATGTCTTTGGTTAGGGAGGTGAAAATTTTAAGTCATAGATAATGCTTGAAGGCTTTTAACAAATTAATCACTAAGATCTAGTCCAATCATTCTGCTAATAAAACCTGTCAAATAAAATTAAATGCAAATTAATCTAGGTTCATACCGAAATTCATCATTGGCTCCTTCTTCTCGAAGTCCAATCCACCAGTTTACACCAAACTTTGATAGCTAGTTTAAAACAAAACAAAGAAACCTCAGCATTTATTTATTCTACTTGTTCTCCCTTTTCAGTATTAAGATTAATGGGGTTGCTGTTAATAGCTTTCTATTCTTCAGTATTTTACCCAATTATCTAAAGAAGTAGAAGAAAGCCCAGCATCTTGAGAAAATCTGAAACTTCATTATTCTAAAATATTCCCTTCTTATTATGAAGAAAAATTGGGATCAACGTTGAAAATAATTTTAGTTTCGTTCAGCATGCAGTATCTTTCTTACAGCTTTCCCCATGTATTTAAAAGTAAATTTTCTAACTCTATAATAGTAATACTGTAAGGTAAAGTAGAAGATGGATTCCTTTTTTGACTAAAAAATTAGTGGCTTATCCTTTCAGTGATTTATAGAAGTCCAATGAATATATTATATCTATTTGAAAAGAAGACATCAGTAGCATAAGGATTTTGAATTTTAAGCATTAGTCTGACTGTTAAGCTTTTAAACTAAGTATTATAACCTTCCTCATTGAAACAGATACAATATAGAACAAAAGAATATCACAGAATTTGTAGTGTTTGACAACTAGAAAATTATCCTTTATATATATTGTTAATCTGACACTATTATTATTCACACAGACATAAGTACAAAAAGTATAAAACCGAAACAACACACATACATTAGAACAGATGTAATACTGGGCTTATGATCCAGGAAATTGAAATTTCCTCTTTAACTATAAAAGAGGAAGAGGCAGTCAGGATTTCTCTAAGACCTCTAAATCAGTACACTTTATTGGGGGGAGGGAGGGGATGTGTGTTGAAATGTAACTTAATTTTTATATGCTAAAAACCTGTTAATCTAGATGCATTACATAAGTTTGCATTCTCACTTCCTCTGTAAATTTGGAGATATATTTTTCCACATAAATTTCAGGTCATCATACAACAGAACCAAATGGCTCGCTAACATTCAAATTTACAAATAGGTATTTTTGCTCCTTAAACAGTGTGGCTGTCTGCCATATCAGCAATTTGAGAATAATGTAAGATGGAGCAACTATAATTTTGGATCCCTGAGGTGCTGTTTCATGGACGTGTTCTTACATGCCGAATTTAGATTCCCATTGTCAGACTTTGGAATTGGTCTATTGAGACTGGCTGTGAGCTCAGTGGGGGAATCACAACAATTTCATTCAATCTAAAGAGGTCTCACGTGCAACAGTAGTGGAAAGCATGGCCCGATTGTTCACTGCCCCAATTAAGAACCTCTGAAGAAAAATTATAACTACTACATCTTAAGTGGCATATTTATTACCACCTCAATAATAAGATGGTAATCCTCCACATGGCACATCACAACCTGTTGTGATATGGAACAGAACTTCACGGGACAATCTAGAAGATATCCAAACTAAAAAATTCAGTGTGAAAAATGGATGTTTTATATTTTAGTTTAGGTACAAAGTTACAACAATAGAAGACTTTCTAATATGCTTTGGTATAAATAAACGTGATGTGAGCATGGATTTTATAATATCAACTATGTTTTGTGACATACAAACAGCAAATAAGGATGGCAGCATACTGGAAGAACAATTATCAAAGAGGAATGCAACAGTAACAGCCATCTATTAAGCAATATAAAGAAAAACAATTTGTCATCTTTTAAAATAGTCCCATCAAAAATAGCAAAATCATTTGACTTTAAGGGTTTAAAACACTAGCTTGTGGAAGAAGAGTAATAGATTTTGATACATTTTGTTAGAAGTATATAGAAATAAAATCTAAAAAATAATAGCAAATCACTATTTCCAAATGAAAATATTGCACAACCTGCATAAAAAATGTTAGCTAAGTGAACTAATTGGCCAGTAGTTCATGTCACACACAACTCATAAGGTGCTTGGGCTCTTTACTTTTTAGGCATCAATCTGATCATCAAGATGGCTCAAAAAATAACTTCTCAAAAATTCACTCTCAGTCCTGGACACTCTGTTAACCCAGAACTGAAACCATTCCTGAAGCTCATTCTTCAGACAAAGATTAGACAGGACTATAAAACAAAAAATAATACATGTGAGGAGCATGCTTCTTAGTTCAATCAGATACACGAAACCAAACGAGCAGCTCCTGTCTGGAGGCAGGATGAGAAGGCAGGAAGGGACAGGAATTGGTTGAATGGACACAGGGAACCCGGGGTGAAAAGGGGGAGTGTGCTGTCACATTGTAGGGATTGCAACTAATGTTACAAAACAATATGTGTATCAACTTTTGTATGAGAAATTAACTTGAGCTGTAATCTTTCACCTAAAGCACAATAAAAAAAAAAAAAAATCACTCTCATCATGCCTTGTGGTCCTCTGTTATTTGAAGAGTGGGAGGGAAAACACCAACTCATTCCTTTTGCTAGATGGAAACATTTTGTGAAAAAAAAAAAATCTACTTCAGAGTTTTTAAAACTGTATCCAGCTTTCTTGTTCAATGATTAGTTCTTCCACTCTTCAACTAAATCTTATTTTTGTTTTTCTACAACTCTAATTTTGACTCTTTAAGGGGAGCTATATAAAATACTAAAGTTAACCAAACCAAAACCAAACCTGTTGCCACTGAGTTCATTCTGACTCATAGCAACCCTAGAGGACAGAGTAGAACTGCCCCACAGGGTTTCCAAGGAGCAGCTGGTGGATTTGAACTGCAGACCCTTTGGTTAGCATCCATAGCTCTTAACCACTGCGCGACCAGGGCTCCAGGTAAGTTTAAGAGTATTTAAATTCTGCATGTATAGGATGGGTGTGCTACAAAAGTGAGTGGTATGGCCTCTATGCATTTAGTTCTGCACCTTAGAATAAAATATCATCTCCTGGACTGACTCATTCCAGTAGGGCATTCTTACATACGATATTTCTTACATATGTAATGTAATTGGTCATCATACTTACCACCATCACCAACAAGAAAAAATGTCCAATGAAGCCATAAATTATGCATAAATAAGAATTGTTTTAGAAATCTAAGTTTTTTTATTGACTACAGCCTTCTTCTCTGTAAACTGATACCCCTTCCCCTTGGTCCCCACGTCCTCTCTCTCGATCTCTGTATTCTACACCCTCCAATAAATTTATTTTGCAGCACAGTGGGGTGTAAGATCAGTCAGTAGCTCACCCATAGTACTGACAGGTCATTGTATGTTAATATGACCAAAGGCTAGGTAGCAATTTTGCCATATAGGACACTACAAGATTTGTCTAATTTAAGATGAGAGTCCTCAAGTTGAGATCATGGCTCTGGCTGTGGTTTCTCAAACTGCTAAAACCTTGAGATTTTACTATTTCTTTCTATAGGAGAAATTAATCCCTCCACCCCCACTGATATCCCAACCCCCAAAGATTGGGAAAGTGAATTAAGGGAACGGTGAGGAGAGAATACCTGCAGAAGTTCCCAGGAGAGCTAAGTTCTGTTGGAAAGACCAGAGGAGCCCCTCATTGTTCATCTTTGAGGCAGAGCTGGTGGCCATCTTTTGGGGAGGGATTTTAGAAACAGCATTCTACTATAATGAGGACATTGTGCTCTTATATGCCCCTAACACTGCCATGGTGCCTGCAGAGGCTGCACTATACAGTGTTTTCAAATGACCTTGTAATCAGATATCCTGGATTCATTTTCAAAGTCCACCCTTTAGCTGCTATGTAACCAAGTTGCTTAACTTCTTCAGAGTCTCAGCTTCCTCCTCTGTAAAATGTGGCTAATAAGAGTCTTCCCACAGAGTTGTTGGGAAAATTAAATGCCATTAAACATACTTAGCATAGCGTGACACCACTAAGGCAAGTATTGGCCAAATGTCAGCTCTTACTGGGACGTGCACTTTGTGAATGCCCATGGGTTGGTTTTTGGCCATTCACCTGATCTCCTGTGGAGCTAGGAGTTCAGTGTCTGGGTAAAGAAACAAACGTATTTTCTAAGGTCATGATATATAATTTGCTGACATTTAATGTTACCGTTTTGGGTTGAGTGTTTTCTTTGTAGGAGAGGAAGGGTGGCAAATAGAGCACAAACCATAGTGGGGAACATTCTGGTTCTAGCGGTTGGCCTGCTACTCAGTCTCTGTGGGACCGTGGGGTTGTCACCTCATCCCTCTGTTTCTCCACTTTTTCATCATAATAGGTAGCAGTCCCGACCTGCCTAAACCTCATAGGCTGCATGTGCATCAAACAGAATTACAGAACCGGTAAAGTTCCAAGGGCAGTGAAGGAAGACACCACTCGTAAAAGCCCAGGGTGCTTTATCCAGAGCTTCATGTTAACAGTCAACTTGTAAAGATACAAAAAAAAAGCTAGAGCTGGAAAGGACTGCTGGAGATAATGAAATATGGTCAAATTACAGAAAAAGAAAAAGCTTTATCTTGCTTTCATAGGTTTCCTAGAGAAAACTGGGGTGAGGTGTTTCCTCTTTAATGCCTTTCTGGTAACTTGTACACACTTTCCCCATTCTACTGGCTACACAGTGTCATTTCCAGCTCTGTTTCTGAGCCTTCTGAAAATAGAGACTGTATCTCATGTATTTCTGTGTCCTTAACAAACATCACAGTGCCTACCACATACCTGATACCCAATAAATGTGCACTATTCCTTGGCGGGAGCCCTGGGGGCAAAGTGGTTAAGAGCTCCAGGATGCTGACCAAAAGGCTGGCAGTTTGAATCCACCAATCGCTCTTTGGAAACCCTATGGGGCAGTTCTCCTCTGTCCTATAGGGTTGCTATGAGTCAGAATCGACTTGATGGCACACAAAAACAACAACATTCCTTGGCAGTCTATTTCATATTTAACAGGTTTTGCATTCTCCAGGGGGTTGGGGGGAACCATTACTGTCGAGTCAATTCCGACTGCTAGCGACCCTATTCCTTGATCAAGGCTATTCTTTTTATCTTAAGTTGAAATGGAAAACCACTCCTTACTAATTTTATGTATATTGAATCTTTACAAACTTAAAAGTACTGTACTTCTGTAAGCAAAATCTGAAACTTTAAAACTTCCATGCAACCCCCAGGTACTCCCTGTCCTTCATCTGTGCTTTATGTTCCCCCCTGGTGCTTACCCATTTATCTTCTTGTAAGCTAGCATGTAATTCTATTTACTTATATTGATTACAGTCTTTTTTTCCCCCACTCTAGACTATAAATAAGCTCCATGAAGGTAGGAATTCTAGTCTGCTTTATTCACTGATAGAGCCCCAGTCCCTAGAAGAGTAGGCTGTCAATAAATATGTGTTTTAAAGAATGATCGAATACAGCTTGCAAAAGCAATAAAACTCTACTTACTTACCATTGTTGCTAATAAAGAATGAAGAGAAGCGAAGTGACTGACCTACACAATAAACCTTCCTGTTATAGAGATTAAGAGAGAATACATTCCATTATTCTCTCTTAATCTTTATAACAGGGAGAAAAACAATTCTCAACTATCTATGGTTTTTAAATGAAACTTAAATAAATGTCTAAAGTTAAATTAAAAAAAAAAAAAAAAAAGTCCCACACAGGACAGAAGAAAGAGCTAAGCTCTGAATTTGCATGGTTCATTGTAAGTACCGCTTTTATTTTGCTGTGGATAAATTCTTGTTCACGTGCAGAATGAATTGTGAGAAGATCACTGCGCAGCCAACCACAGACAAATTCAAAGGAGGCCCATTCCGAGGGAGAGGTATGAAAAAGGTACTCTGTATCCTGATAAAAGAGCCAGGGTTCATCTGAAATAAAAGTACACAATGCAACGATGCAAAAACCATTGAGAAAGACGGTGGTATTGAGGGAGCTGTGCTATTATTGACCCACATTTGTAACTGGATTACTCTGCATTAAAAAAAGTACGTATATATGTGTGTGTATATGTATATGTACACACACACATACATTTTTTAAATGCAGAGTGATCCAATTACAAATGTGGGGGTCAATACACATGAACGCATGCACACTACATATACAGTATATATATATAAATCACTTGCTTATTTTCCTTGGTCTATCTTATACATAAAATCTTTACTAGTATTCAAAGGTCAGGAATAGACACATATTTTAAAATCATGCATCATGAAAATGGAGTTAAGCTTTCTTTAATCATATTTAATGACATTATTAATTTATTATTTTGAATCAATTAGCTCTAGATTCACATACGAGAGGCTCAGTTGGAGGAATTTAACAATACAGTAATGTTATGTAAATAATATATAAAAAGAAATTCAGGAATGGCTAGGATCCTTTCTTACCGTGTTGGTACCATTGTGGAATCTTGGGTTTCACATCTGCAAAGTGAACGCAAACCGCTTTGACTGAGCTTTCTTTCTTCACAGAGGCATGATCTCTGAATGACTACAGCTCTAAAAACAGTATTTTGTACTTTGCCTTTTAAAAAATCATTTAAAAAACAGGTACCTTCTAATGCTTGGAATATATGGGTAGTTTTCACACTTTAAGAGGAAACTGAAAAGAAGCCTCTGAATAAAGAAGAAAGTGAACACTTGTTGAGGGCCTACTGTGTGTCAGACACTGTGCTAGGTGTTTTTATCTACTTATTATTTTTACAAGTAATTCTGTTTGTTTTTAATGTCAAGGTGACATTTTTTTCCACACTGTACTTGCAGAATAAAATATTCTACCATATTAACAGAATATTCTTATTCCCAGTTAACTAACTTAGCATACTGAACTGGTGTTATTTTTATTCATTTCCCCAGACATGTTTTTTTCTAAAGGAGTTAGTAAGCAGGAGGGAGGGGGTAAGAGGACTCAGTGCTTAGGGGACATTGAGCTTCTGTTAAGGGTGATGGAAAAAACTGGGAACGGATAAGGGTGTTGGTCAAACAATATGATGGACATAATTAATGTCACTGAACTGTACAGGTAAAGACTGTTGAGATGGCAAAAGTTTTGTTACATGTATACTTACCACACACACAAAAGAGTTCATGCAATTTGGTTCATGATGCAGGTGTTGCTACCCTGGTTCAGGGTGCTTAAGCTGAGATCTTTGTAACTCTTTACTTGGGAAAAGTGCTATCGAATATTAGAAAGCAAACACATAGTGAAGACCTTATTAATATTCTTACCTCTTGGAATTTTGCATATCCATTCACGTTTGGAACCACAGTACAAGGGCAGCAATGTTTTGTTTGCCTTATACACAGCACAATTTCTTGCATCTTCTCCAAAATAAGTATTGTCTAAAAATGAAGAGACGACCTGCAGCAGATGAAGTTCATTATTCCTTGATGATGATTCCCCCACAAAAAGTTTCAAAAGACCAAAAAAGGCATTCCTATAATTAATCATTATAGATTTCTGAAGGAAGCTTCAGAAATGCCTGGATATGATTCCATTTCAAAGTCTTTCCACTTTTGTGAAGAACAAGCTAATCATCCTTTAGCATTTTTTTCTTAAAGATGCTTTTTTCTTAAAAATAGGCAATACTGCTCCCTTCTCTAGAAGGAGCAAGTCAGAGGCAATCACCTTTATGAACTTGCACTGTTTTCTAACTGGCAGGATTAGTCTAGCCTCCTGGATAAACTTCTCAGAGGCTCAGGGATGTGTTAGATCTGTGTGTTACCTTTGATGTAGATTCTTTTGCATAAATACTAAGCTTTTAATCTCTAATAACTAAATTCTAAGCCACAGCTACCTTTAATATGGAAAATATGCAACACTTTCCATTAATGATCACATAACAGGGATATTAAGTAAAGATTTAACCTTCTCAACCATTAAGTGACTCAGCAGAAGAATGGATGAACTACAAGTAAAACTGGAGTAAAAACTTGTAAGAAAAAAAAAAGATATTTTGAAACTGTTTGTACTCCTCCTCAGGCACGTATACAATCATACAACAATTCACCTAAATGAAATATATATGACCTCCGATTCAGAGAATGATGTGAGTTTTAATTCATTATGTTTAGCAGGAAGTGGTGAGGAACTCAGTCATCTGCTCATGGCTTTATCTTATTTATTCTGAACGAAACTGTCTATTCCTCTTCTATTACTAACGAGTGTGTTTTACTAAAACGAATTAAGAGTTCTCAACTTCTACGTGCCGCATTTCATTTTTCAAGTGCCATGTTGATTTTAACTACCCAACTGTGTCACGTAGTGGCTGCCATTTATGGGGCAGGTCAACCTGCTATGCCTCTTTTGCATTCTGGGTCTCAGCTTCTTCATCAGCAAAATAGGTGGGTGGGCCTGGATGATCTCTAAGATCTCTTACTACAATCAGATTCTGATACCCTTTTCAAAGAAGCAGTAATGGGGTGGAAAAGTTATTTACTTATTTTTTTTAGTTAGCATGCCTTTATCATTATTTTTACTCCCACTATAGGCATATGGAGCCCTGGTGGTGCAGTGGTTAAGAGCTTGACTGCTAACCAAAAGGTTAGCAGTTTGAATCCACCAGCCGCTACTTGGAAACCCTATGGGGCACTTCTACTCTGTCCTGTAGGGTTGCTATGAGTTGGAATTGGATCAATGGCAATGGGTTTGGCTTTTTTTTTTTTTGGTATAGGCATATGGAGCCCTGATGGTGCAATGGTTAAGCGCTCGGCTGCTAACCAAAAGGTTGGCTGTTCGAATCCACCAGCTGCTCCTTGGAAACCCTAGGGGGGCGGTTCTACTGTATCCTGTAAAGTCATTATGAGTTGGAACCAACTTGATGGCAACAGGTTTTGGATAGGCATACAGCTTTTCCAAATATCCCTTCTTAACCACAAGTTTGAACATCTATGTACTGGGTGTGGAGATCCCTTCTATTGATTTTGACCTATTTCAAAGCTTGGCTGCTGTTATTTTGCCAACTGAGAGACATTACAACATCAAGGACTTGGAATCAGACAACTCGTAGGCAAATCCTGGTTTTCTATGTACTATTTTAGGCAAACTACTTAATCCTCCTAATAATGCACTGAATTGAATCCTTGTAAGGACTAAAGGAGTTAATGTAGGAGAGCGCTCAGCTCAGTGCTAGGAGCATTATAAGGGCTTAGTAAATGAGAGCTGTCACTAAATGTTCACTAGTCTCCCCATTTCACAGGTGAAACTGACTAACTTGACTCTGCTTGTGCCCTAGGATTGAATCCATTTTAATCTGGGATACTGTTTCAGTTTTTTCTTCATAATCTTGAGAAAAATGTGAGAAGTCTTCATTGCACATGAAAAAAAACCAATAGTGAGTTCTCTTTCTCCTTCATAAAGCTTTGCTAGTGTGAGATTGAATGAAAAGCAAATCTTTCCTTTCAGAATAACTTGCTCTGGCTGAGAGGGAGTTGATAATTTCTATGGGTGACAGTCTACCCTTTTAGAGTGAGATATACTGAAAATGGATCTCCAAGATAGTCTCGTTTTCACTGTGACGTGGACAAGTTTCCCAAACCCACGAAATCAGATGCTATCCAAGACAAGGAGGGTTGGGCAAAGGAATCCACCTGATATTATTTTAAAGAATAGTTGCTTCTCTGTCTCAGACTTAACACAGGAGAAGGTTTGGGGCCCTTTTCAGAGATTTTGATTTCTTTTTAGGATGAGATTCGATAGATGGCCTCAGAACTGTCTGGTTAGCAAAGGCTTCCCAGGACCTTGCTGAAATAACTCTCCTGGTTTCAAGGTTTGATGCTGTTTTTATTTGGGTCAGGGTCAAGGAAGATATGATCATTATTTCCAGGTTCCTAGGTCATTCACGGAGTCCCTGGGATCCTCAAAAGAAAGTCTGAAAATCTACTTTTGCAAAATCAGCCATTGAAAACCCTATAGAGCACAGTTCTACCCTGGCACACATGGGGTTGCCATGAGTCAGAGATGACTCCACGGCAGTGGGTTTTGTTTTAGTTCATTCACAGTACTCCACTGTGCTTGGTTGGTTCACCAAGTGGTTCCAGGGCCATCTGTTTATGAAATTCATCTCTTTTTCTCCAATTTGGAAAGACTTACAGGAGTCCCATCAGACCACTCCCAAGAGTCAGCATTCTGTGGGTTTCTTTTATTAAAACCAATCCAGAATTGCCTTTCTTCTGTCCTATAAAGAAAAGAAACAAAAGCTTTGCTTTCCCCATTGAATCTACATTATGTAAAAGATTAAAAAATAATTTGAAGTATCTACGTGTGCAGGGAACAGCTGGTGCTACTGGCAGGACTGATCAAGTCAACAAACATTTATTGAACATTTCCTAGGTGTTCAGTATGAATGGTATGAAATGAACTGATGGACGATTTGGCCTCACATGCTATTGCTATCGGTTTGTGTAGTGTGCTTACTGGTGATGTGCAATTTGGGGAAAAATCAGCACATACTGGGAAACACTGGTTTCTCATTAGGAATGGCAACCTCTTTTCAATCAGGACAAGAAAATATGAGAACAAGCTCATAAGAAATTTTGGAATATCTCTTCCCTAGAGGACTTTTAACTACTTGACTACAGTTTTGGAGCCCTGGTGGTGAAGTAGTTAAGAGCTTGGCTGCTATCCAAAAGGCCGGCAGCTCAAATCCACCAGCCACTCCTTGGAAACCCTATGGGGCAATTCTACTCTGTCCCTGTAGGGTCATTATGAATTGGAATCAACTCGATGGCAATGGGGAGAGAGAGTGACTACACTTTTAATTTCTTGATATTTTGTCAAATGTTCATGTCTTCTCTGAAAGTTAATCACCATCGCCACTTAATAAAAGTAAAAATTAATAATAAAGTAAAATTATTTATCCTAACATAAATAATTCCTCAGTGAATCAGTCTGAACCATGGGAGATTAACTTCAGCAGTCACCACTGGTTTAGACTTGGCAAGAAGCTCCACAGAGAATCCTCTTCCCTCCTATTAGGCAGAGTACAAATATGTCAAACCACAGAGTATTCAATAAATCAAGCAATAAAGCCTAATTGTACAATGAACTATCTCACTAAGATAATTTTCTGAAAATAATTTTGAAGAATTAAAGATTTAAAAGATTCAGAAATTATGACAGATGCTTTATTTTCCTTAGTGCGGAGAAGCAAGCCCACTCTGAAGCATCCATTCGCAGAGATCTGAGGTAGTCTGCTGGAACAATAAAAATTAAAGTAAAATGCAACTCATAAAATCAGAGAGGTCACTGCTGTCCAGTTGATTATTGTGGTGATGACACCTTACAGTTAAGGTTGCAGCAAGGTGAGAATGGTCTCCTTAAGGTTACGCCAGGCACATTAATATCAAGGGTATAGGTTGGAAACCCATGTCACTCTCCCTGCATTTACAATTTATTTATTCCTTTCCTCACTGAATTCAGAGTTCTGCCTTTTCCCTGCACATACTGGCTTCTAGAAGATGAACTGGTATTTATTTTCTCTCCACCAATTTCCTAAAAGTAATTTTTAAATGAACTCACACACACACGTATGTTTGCATGTGTATATATCTACATCTGTATCTAGATACATACATCACATATATGATACATACTTACATACATCATATATATATGTATGTAAAACCAAACCCATTGTTGTCGAGTTGATTCCGACTCATAGCGACCCTATAGGGCAGAGGAAAACTGCTCCATCGGGTTTCCAAGGCTGTAATCTTTACAGAAGCAGACTGCCACATCTTCCTCCTGTGGAGCGGCTGGTGGGTTTGAACCAATGACCTTTCGGTTAGCAGCCAAGTGCTTAACCACTGCACCACCAGGGCTCCTTCATCACACACACACACACACACACAGATCTATCTATCTATCTGGGAAGAGGGCGAGAGGAGAGAGAGAGAGAGAGAGAGTGACAGTGTGTGTTAATAAAATAGAAACAGAAAATCAGTACCATAGAAAGGAGGAAGAGGCATACATGTTACCCATGAGAGCTGGTATACTTGCTATAATTAAGCATCAGATTTGACTGAATTTCTTGGTAGTTTGGGCAAAAAGGAAATCATATATTATTATACAGATTTTGTTATTAGATGCTGAAAATCAGTAATTTGATAGATGCTTGCCACTAAGTTCTACTAGAAACTGTAAGTCTAAAGGGAAAATATATTTGATCTTTATAACAAACTTAGCAGTTTTGATGTAGTTGTTTCATTTAGTAAACCTCACTAAAATCCAAGATCAGAACACGCAAGTGTGTTTTGCAAGGGCCTAAAGTAATGAAAAGGAGTGCTGGAGGTGCAATGGTTAAGCACTCGGCTGCTAACTGAAAGATCCGTGGTTTGAACCCACCAGCGACTCCACAGGAGAAGAGACCTGGCGATCTGCTCCCATAAAGATTACAGCCTATGGGGCAGTTGCACGCTGTCCTGGAGGGGTGCTATGAATTGGAATTGGCTCCAGGGCACACAACAACAACAAAGTAATGAAGCAAATTTACAATTTAGAACAATGTAGACTATCATGTATCAATTGGATTTGTGGCCCCACACCTGGCTAATAATCCAATTAACCAGGAAGCTTCTTAAACTTTTCATTCTGTCTTAAAGGGTGTCCCAAGTGAGTATGATGACAAGCCAGACCTCGGAACCATGGTCTCAGGTCAGCATTCCTAAAGGCAACAGCTGTTCCGTAGGGTGATAATAAGTGATCTCAAAAAAAGGATTTTGTCATCAAAGAAAGTTCTTCTTTCTAAGAGTCTTTACAATGCTAATGTACATGGCAAACTTCCAAGATTTTGCAAACTTATTTGACCATAAATCCATGTTTCCTCACAGAATACTCAATGAGACACACATTGGGAAAGTTTGTTACAGATTCCCAACTTTTAAGGTCACTTTTGTACATGTTGAAGATCAATAATTTGATAAATGTTACATATTAATCTTTTTATGGGGAGTCCTACAAAGAAACCTAGGGGGAAAGCCAGGATTTTCCTCAAGAAATAGTTCCGGATTTGTCCCGAGATTTAGGCAAGTGCTTCATCAAGACTCCAGATTCCCACAGCTCGGAGCAGAATACCTGGTATTACATTTCTTTCATTAAATATGCATGTAGTTTCTTAGACTTCAACATCCGCAGAAGCAGAATTTTGCTTGTTATGTCTTTTGGATTCTCCAGCCAGTTGTACATATTACAGTGCCCCTTCCAGAAAGAATACTCCTAACATGTATGCTGACTGACAAGAACATTCTAGAGAAAGAGGCCAAGAGGTGGAGGACTCATTGAATGGTGACATGATGATGGCTGTCTTTAAATATTTGAAAATAGAGTAGACTGGATCTGTATTGATCCGGCTCCAAACTGAGGGAGGCAGATTTCTGGCTTAAACTTGATCCTCCAACAATGGAATGGGTCTTTCCCCAAGTAAGGAGGGCTCTGAAAGTGGAAGGAATTATGCAGACAGTAGATGACCATGGGAATGTGGTTGAAGGAATTCCTGCATTGGGCAGGAGGTAGCATAGGACCTCCTAGTTTTCTTCCAGTTTAAACTGATTTGATTTTCTGACTCTATGGAATTCAAGACTGTAAACTTGCAGGATGGAGGCAGATAAGCGAACTCCTATTTCCTCGAATGTAAAATTGGGGGGTTGGATTGGAGTTTTTTATTTTAATCAGTGGGAACTCTTTTTGTCATGCAAAATCTTACATAGAAGCCTGTTATGTAGAGAATAAGGAGACAGTGAGCTGGCTGGAGCTCTGCCCACTAGACCCCCTCCTGCTCTTGAGATTCCGGGAAACCCCAAGCTCCTCAGACAGCACTTTGAAAATCACTGGGCTAGATAATTTCTGAGGTTGGCAGAAACATTCTAAAAATATGATTTGAGGCACACTGAAACTATTTCTAATATCAAAACAATTGTCACTTCGTTCTTTGTTTTATGAAATGAGAACTTGGTGCAATATAACTTTACAACTATACGTATATATTTTTTCTTTCAGAACTAGTGCCTAGTTGGTTTTAGGCTTTAAACAAATACTTAGCATTTTAAACAAGTATTTGGGATACTCACCCCTAAGAAGCCATTACCAGGGGACTGAAAATTTGACTGTAATTTTTCAATATTAACAAGTACTTACCAATTAAATTTTGAATGTAAGAGCTCATTCACAAAATTCTCTTCCTCAATATGCGCAAAGCTTGCAAGATGAGCTCCAAATTCTTCACAAAATGCTTCAGCTTCTCTCCATGTTCTTTTCATCAGGACTTTTTCACTATGAAATACCTATATAGTAAAAGAAAAAAAAAAATAACACTGTCATGGATAAGGTGGGGCTATTTAATTCTGGACAGGAAAATAACAGTAATATAGTTGTTGTCATTATTGTGTATGAAAAGCTTGACCCCGAGGGAAGAACTAACATTTATTGAACTAAAATATACCTGTTGTTGTGTGCCTTTGAGTCAATTCTGACTCATAGTGACTCTATATGACAGAGTAGAACTACCCTATAGGGTTTCCAAGGTTGTATTCTTCATAAGAACAGATCGCTAGGTCTTTTCTCCTGTGGAGCAGCTGGTGGGTTCAAACCACTCACCTTTTGGTTAGCTGCCAAGCACTTCCATTGCACCACCAGGGCTCTTTAGAATATGTCTAGATATTGTAAAACTATTATCTCATTTTATCCTCACAACAAATTTGTGAGGGGTATAATAAATAAGCTCAGTTTTATAAATGAGTGCGCTCCTTGAGGACTTTACTTGTTATAAATCTCCTGTAGCTGGCATATACTTGTTTCTTAATAAATGTTTGTCAGGAGATGAGGAAACTCAAGCTCAGAGACGTTAGGAATTTTAGGTCACATGGCTACAAACTGGTTGAGTTAGGATTAGAACTGGAACTCCTTCCTTCCAGAGTCCATGCATTTCTGTTCCACTATCTGGCAAATTAGAGTCTCCTGGATGACCACCAATCTGACCAATGCCACGGCAGGAAATGAGACCTGACACCCAGGATCAGGTGGATTTCTAGGGTCTTAGCTGAACCTAAGACAGATACAGTGATTCATCTGTGCCTAAATTCTCTGTTCTTTTTTCAGCTGCCCTCACTGTAGCATGAAGTCAGTCAAATGAAGTGTCTGCTTTTGGCTTTATTTAAGATAGGGGTGACGGCCTGAAGACCCAGAGCTCCCAACCCTGACCTCTGCACCTTCATTTTTAAACACCCAACACTAAGCCTGAGCCTCTGATGCCAGGCAGGTACTCTGCGGCCAGCTTTTCCAGGCTCTGATTTGCTGAGACCAGAATGAATAGCTTTCTGAGTCCTGTAGACCACAACGTAGCCTTTCCATCTTTTAAATTATACGTCAAAGCGCACATCTTCTGGGAACCTCTTCCCAAATCACTCTAAATTCATAAATCCTACTGCCCATGCCCATCAAACACACCATGCATTTGTTGACATAGGAGGGTGATATAGTAGGAAAAGCACTGGACTGGGAGCCCCAAGACCAGAGATTTATTCCAGCTCTGTCAGTAAATAACTATGATCTTAGGTAAATCACCTCATTTTCACTGGCCTCAGTTTACTCATTTCTGAGGTTTAACCTATTGCTCTGTGAGGTCATTTCCGGGTCCACTATTCCATGAACTTGACATAGGATTAGACACATGCACATTTAGACTGAGTACCTGCCGTGTGACCCAGGCCATCTGTGAGACAGCAACATTTTGAGACAGAGACTGTGTCCATGCTGCCCTACGTGTGGAAGAGTTCTGCCCACCGCAGGAGAGGACTTTCGCCCAGGGTTTGGGGAATTTCTATTTGTAAAGGGAACCAAGACAAAACCACCAGACATAAAACTATTCTGTTTAAAAAAAAAAAAAAGTATTTCTGACAAGAAGATTGTAGGAATTGATTTAAATCTAGGATTCTAAAGCTGATTTGCAAATAAACATTTCTTCATAGATGATATAGATAGATGTATGTGTGTGTATATATATAGTTGTTGCTGGGTGCCACTGAGTTGGTTCCTATTCATACCAACCCTATGTGACAGAGTAGAACTTCTCCACAGGGTTTTCTAGGCTGTAAACTTTACAGAAGCAGGTTGCCAGGTCTTTCTCTCATGGAGTCACTGAGTAGATATGAACTGCCAACTTTGGTTAGCAGCCAAGCGCTTAACCATTGTGCTCCGTGTGTGTGTGTGTGTATAAATACCCACTGTCATCGAGTTGATTATAAACTGTACATATTAATTTGTTTGATCTTAAAGTGTCTGGCAAGACCCAAAAGCTATCCTTAACATCAGAATAGTATAGTCCTATAATAAGGACTTTATGTATTTGTTTACAAACAATATGGAATTGTATCATTTTAATACCCAGTGAGTGTCCACCTCAATCATTTGGTATAAGCTTGGCAATAATAACAATATTGAGTTGGCCTAGATATCAATTCTCATGAAGAGGCCTTCAATATCATGGGCGATAAGCCAATTTTTTGACTTAAAAATTATTTTGGAATATAATTGAAAGAACAGAGACAGTCAACAAATATTGATTAAGCACCTGCTGTGTACTGGGCCTTGTTCTATGTGCAGGAATAAAGGGATCTGGGATACGCAGATCACATTTAAATAATGTTGGTCCTGCTGAGAATGTCCCTGTAACCTTGGCATCACCTTGAAGCAACTGGCCAGACCAGGCTCCGACTCCCAGCCCAGATAGCAGGGGTGAAAGGGCCATCTCTCTTCATGCTCATTTTTTTCCCGAATTTCGACTGGCTGCTTGCACAGGGACATTGCCTTAAAGTGTTTACAGTCCTTCACTTCCCAGCGACCAGGTGGACTCCTTCCTCGCATGACAACACAGCCACCGCTGTAGCCTAAAAGCAGAAAACAAGCACTTTTAATACCAGATGACTCAACTGTTTTGTGCCTGGAAGACAGCTCTTTAGAGTGTTGAATAATTGAAACATAACGAAGCACCCAGACAAGGACCATAAAGATAAAAAAGGATGCTTTATTGGCATGATTATCTTATTTCTCTTCATCTCTGGAGAAAAGAATAGAAGATGGAAAAGTGAGAGAAGAGAGAATGTTATGCCTGAATTTTACTGGGCCTGACATTTGGGCATTGCTTGCTTTGAGCTCAGCTGGCATATATGGGTAACTAAGAGCCGCTCCTGCTTGGAACAGAAATATCCCCCATATCTCATCAAACGCCAACAGCCGTCTAGTTTGAATCATTGCAATTCTTAAACGTGCAAAGAAGAATTTAACTTACCTTTCTTTTTCTTTCTAATTGTACTTTAGATGAAGGCTTACAGAGCAAACTACCTTCTCATTAAACAATTAATACACATATTGTTTTGCAACATTGGTTGCCAACCCCACGACACGTCAATACTCTCCCCTTCTCGACTTTGGGTTCCCCATTACCAGCTTTCCTGTTCCCTCCTGCCTTCTCATCCTTGCCCCTGGGCTGGTGTGCCCATTTAGTCTCTTTAGAATTTTGTTCTACATTTTTCTCCAGCTCTGTCTGGGACCCTCTATTGTGATCCCTGTCAGAACAGTCGGTGGTGGTAGCCGGGCACCATCTAGTGGTGCTGGACTTAGTGTGGAGGAGGCTGTGATACTTACTTGTGGTCCATTAGTCCTTTGGACTGATCTTTCCCTTGAGTCTTTGGTTTTCTTCATTCTCCCTTGCTTAACTCCCCATTTATTGAGCACCTACTCTGTATGCTGTGCTTTGAAATCCATTGCGAGGGAGAAACAATGAAAACTGCATAGTGGCTACCCTCTGAGAATCAGATTCAATAGGGGAAATACTGACATAAATAACGGATCCAAGGAAGACTGCAGGGTACACAACAGACAACCAAAATGTAAACCATGGAAGAATGGAGAGACTGAGGTAGATTCTAACTGCAGTGAAACTATGGGGGCAGGACCACGGGCAGAAATCAGAAGAAAAAGAGGAAGCGAGTGAGAGAGGCTTTTTAAAGAAAAGTAGAAGTATAGAGATGTTTGTTTCCACTTTCACAATTTGTGTGAATTGCTGGGAAAAGTGATAGATAGACTGTATAGTTAGGGGAAAAATCCACTTTATTCTTTGTGTATGTTAGAACATTTTGGAACATAAAACCTATTTTCCCATAGAAACAATTCATAAGTTGAATTCTGATCTTCAAGTTTGCTAGCAAGAATCTATAAAATTCATAAAACATCTAAAAAAAGATTCTTAAAATTTCAATGAAGAATAGTAGGAAACAGAATAAAAACTGAATAAGAATGAGCTGTTTTTTTCTTGACTCCAGGGTGATCATTCAATTAATTAAATCATCAACATTCAACAACAACAAAATTGTGCATCTACAATGCACCAGGCTAGGCTGTATGTCAGCTGCTAGAGATAGAAGGATAAAACAAGACCAATGAAACAAACAAAAAACAATTCCTGGTTTAGTGGGAGACACAGACACATACGCGATCCATTGCAACAAACATCATGTGTTCAGTGCTATAGCAGCACAGACACATACGCGATCCATTGCAACAAATATATGTGTTCAGTGCTATAGCAGAGGTGTATTCAGTGTTCTATGGGGAGACTTCAGCAGGGGTGAAAGTCAGTGAAAGATTCACAGGAAGCAACATCTGAGCTGAGTTTTGAAGGATGTAAAGGAGAAAAGTTTGCAAGGGGTGCTTATAAAAAAGCAAATGATTATAGATGAGACATCTGAAGACTTGTGATGGTTCTGGACCTAAAGGTACCTTGAAAAATGTAGACACTTGGTACTAAATATTTATCTTGCTTAATTTCCCTTCAAAACTAATGGCTTCGGGTTTGACAGATGCAGGGTAACTAGCATTACTCTCACCAACCATGTTTTGATTGTTTTATGCTCACAGGAAGACTAAGGAGAGGGAAAATGAAGAGTAGGAGACAGAATAAAGAAAACAGAGGAAGAATTATAAAGAGACTCCCCTGTAGGAATGGAAAAGAGTTCGAAGAAAGAGGAGAAAGAATAAACGAGCGAGAGAATGAACGTATTTACAACAATCCTGGTGCACGCCATGCATTAGGCACTGGGCATCACCCTGAACAAGGCAGTCCCTGCTGATCGGCAAGAGGCTCATAGTCCTGTGTGTGCGTGTACTGATGCATCAGAGAGACTCGCCAAAATGAAAATGACTGGATCCTAAGAGAGGAAACATGCTAAGTGTGACCCATGTAGAAGAAAAGGGAGTCAAAGAGAGTTGGTCCATACAAAGGCCATCAGATCGTTCACTGGCCCAGAGAAGCTAATGCGTGTTGAAGATGAAGGGTTTGAGGGAGAGATTATAGCATGTAACTGCCCCTTCCACGTATGGAGCTGTGCAGGCCTGATGAGGGTAATTGTGGAATGTAGCTCACAATCTAGCTGGGTCATGAGCAATACAGGAGATGCTGCATGCTCAGCTCAGTGAAATTCTAATGTCATTAAATTGTGGAAATCCATGCAGAAGCTCCAAATGTAATGTATCTGTGGAGTTGCTCCAGTTGAAAGGGAAGGGAAAATCCGCACTCCAGCCTGATTCCCCCATCCTTCCTTTCCCAGCTGCCCCTGAGGCACCTCAATGAAATCTCCAGTTACTGCAGAGCACAGGTGGACCACATCATGGAAAGAACTTCTGACTTGGAACATGAAGCCTGGGGTCTAGACCCAGTGAAAATATTTAGTAACTCAAAACTTGAGGAGGTTAATTAACCACAATAAACCTTATCTAAAACATGGGGATAATAACTCATTTTCTTCACATGGGTTTTCATGAAGATCAAATGAAATAATGTATTGAAACAACACTTTAAGACATGAAAGGCTAAAAACACCTCTACACCAGTCGCCATTGAGTAGATTCCGACTCATGGTGACCCCCACGTGTGTCAGAGAACTGTGTTTCATAGGGTTGTCAATGGCTGATTTTTCAGAAGTAGATCACCAGGCCTTTCTTCCAAGGTACCAATGGAGGGACTGGAACCTCCAACCTTTTGGTTAGCAGCCTAGTGTATTAACCATTTGCACCACTCAGGGAGTCCACAAACCCCTAAGATGTTGCTATTACTCTAATCATGGCCCTTTCCATTAGAAACGCTGGGATTTCGTGGCGTAAGTTCTGCCTGCATGGTCAAAGAATTTTTAAAAAGTTCGAATCAGCAAGTTTTTGTCGGTCTTGCATTTTGTCTCACTTTCACATCAGACAATGATTAAATAGCTATGGTTTTAGACACTATAGATATTCAACCCACCTTCATTAGTGCAGAAGGAGATGTTTGTAAACCACTATGAAGATGAAAAATGCTGCAGGAGGGTTACTGGTATTCTAAAGTGGTTAACTTAAGGAACATTTGACCCAAATTTTAGAGTCTCAGCCCCAAAGAAGCAGTAAAGTACTGTACTAAAGGGAGGTTGGGCTAAGGGAGATATACACTGAATTTATAATCCTCCTTTACATCATGGGGAAGAAGCCCTGGTGGCACAGTGGTTAAAGCACTCGGCTGCTAACTGAAAGGTCGGTGGTTTGAACCCACTAGCTGCTCCACAGGAGAAAGATGTGGCAGTCTGCTTCCATAAAGATTCACAGCCTTGGAAACCCTATGGGGCAAGTTCTACACCCTATAGAGTAGCTCTGAGTCAGAATCGACTCGACGGCAGTGGGTTTGGGTGTTTGTTATATCATGGGGTTGGCTCATAAATCCAAATAATAAGGGTAGGAGTGTGGGAAAAGAGCAAAGGCGCTTTTTTTTCTCCCAGAGAAATTGTTCTCAAATTTGACAACTAATTTCCCAAAGGAAAACTATCTTCCTATTTCTCGGTGGTGAATCTCACATTTAAACTGATTTTCCTAACTCCCCTGTTCAGTCTCTCAATCAAACATCAATGGGGAAACTTCTGGTCAATTAAAAAACTTCCAATTCACTGTTGTAGCCTCTTCTATTTGATAAAGCTATTTAACCATATCTGCCATCTGTCGCTTGGTTTGTCATATCGTGGTGTTGTTATGATGCTGGGAGTTGGGCTACTGGTATTTCAAATACCAGCAGCTTTACCCATGGTGGACAGGTTTCAGTGGAGCTTCTGGACTAACACACTAGGAAAAAAGGCCTGGTGACCTACTTCTGAAAATTAGCCAATGAAAACCCTATGGATTACAGAATATTGTCCGAGACTTTGACTCGCTTACTTTGGACGTATCATCAGGATAGATGGATTGCTGGATCGCTAGAGAAGGACATCCTGTTTGGTAAAGTGGAGGGCTGGTGAAATGAGGGAAACCCTCAATGAGATGAATTGACACAATGGCCACAGCAATGGATGCAAACATACCACCAATTGTGAAGTTGGTGCATTTCATTTTGTTATACATAATGTCACCATGTGTCAGAGCTGACTGGAGGGCTACTAACAACAACAAGAATATGTAGCCATATAAAATGAACTGAGCAGGGAAAGCCTCTGCCTCCCACCTCTCTGGCAAAATACGTGAAAACAAACCAAACCTATTTGTGGCTTTAGGGCAGGAGGGAATCGTAGCTGGAGCTTCAGTGCTTCTAGACAATTATTTTACTTGAATCTGTCTAGTTATTTTCTTATTCCCTGCAGCAACTCTTTCGAATCCTCACTTCTCAAGTCCCCTATCCTACCCACCTTCCCTCTCACTCCTTCTTCTCTCCTTCTCCACCAAGGAAAGGGAAGCTATCAGCACAGGGAAGGTCTGAACTTTTATGGGGTACTGTATATCTGCCAGACACTGTGCTATGCGTTATATATGTTCTTTTCCCCTATTTAATTAAAAAAACTTTTCGAGGTTAGTATTGTTGTTGTTAGGTGCTATCAAGTCG